TGGGTATAGCACCTGAATTTCTCTCATACTGAGAACCTGAATTTTAAAAGGTAGGTAGGTGTGTGTGTGTGTGTGTGTGTGTGTGAGAGAGAGAGAGAGAGAGAGAGAGAGAGAGAGAGAGAGAGAGAGAGAGAGAGAGAGAGTTGAAACTAGAAAGGATGCCATGAGAGGGGAGGGAAAGATCATAAGGGAAGGGGGAAAGAGACTAATCAATACAAGAACAGTGTCAGCTTTGCAAAGGCCTTCTCTCTCGACTCAGATAGGCTTTACCTCGGGAATCATTCCTAGATCCAAAAAAAAACCAGCCCTGAGTCAGTGACCTCTGGGATCTTGTCTCACTGGTCAAAGATGTAGATTCATAGATCAAAAAGGGTGGTTTTAGAATATAATATTTTATTATTGGAAGTTTATGAAAATACTGAGCTCCTATCCAAAATATCTCATATTTTATACACTAGATTAAAGTATTAGTGAATAAATGCTGACAAAGATGAAGAGAAAGAGGAAAACAAAACAAAAACAGCAACAAAAACTCAGACTTTTATGAACCATCAGATTCTTCCAAGAGGTCCCAGAGAAAACTGCTAATGCAGAACAATGGTTTCTTGGAGAAGTTTTGTATTAAAGATATTAAAACATATAAAGAGCAGAACAAAATCATTAGATGCTTTGAAAGAAAACCATCAGCAAGTCTGCTTGGAATCTACCCATAAATTCCACAATGATGCTTTTCAAAAATTTGATAGTGGGTAATAAATTAGCATTCGTGATATACTAAGTTTTTGACCTGTAATCTTGGCACCATTTAAGTCAATTTTATGGTTGTATATGACTTATAGAAACTATTAAAAAACCCTCAGCATTCAAGCTTTCTTGAGTAACACAAGCACATTCCTAAGTTAAATTTATGTATGCGGTTTATTTATTCAGCAGAACATCCTTTGGCTGTTTTCTTTATAGACTATAATTTTTAAATGCAGCTATAATCCATTACAACTAATGACTTGATGACATAACATCAAAAATCCCACAAAAATTAATATAAATAATGTGTATACAACAACCTATTTAAATGTAATTGCATAAAATTTCTTTTTAGGGTCTGAAAAGGTAGGACAATGGTTAAGAGTACTTGTAGCTTTTGCAAAGGACATGAGTTCAGGTCTCAGAACCTACTTGGTAGTTCATAACCATCTGTCACTCCAATTACAGGGGATCTGACATCCTCTGATGACCCCCTCAGACACTGTATACATGCAGGTAAAACACCTGGACATGTAAAAATAAAATAGGGGCTGGGGAAATAGCTCAGCAATTAGGAGCATGGCTGCTCCTCCAGAGGTTCTGAGTTCAATTCCCAGCAACCACATAGTGTCTCACAGTCATCATCAATGGGATCTGATGCCCTCTTCCGGCATACAGGCTTATAGGCAGACAGAGCACTCACTCATACCATAGTAAATAAGCAAATAATTCTTGATACAAATCCAAATTTAGCATTCTAAAAATGATTCTTAGAAAGTTTTCCTTCTTGGATCACATTTACACAAAGTCCTGCCTGTTATTTACAAGATTTACTATGCGACATCATTTATTTCTGGTCAAGAGAAAGATGTGTGGGAATTAAAAACTTTCAGACGAAGCTTCTCAACTTATAACTACGGTGTTTGTGTCTTAAGGAAGCAGACAGATGAAAGCCTTTCTGTGTCCCACCTCTGCTACCACTGTGACCCGAGCCTGTGATATCACGTGATAGAAGTCAGGACATCTGTACTTCCTTGGTTCGGTGATCTAGTCCCTGGTTCTCAGGTCCAGATCCACCTTCATAGTCTCTTGCTTTAGGATGCAAGGACTGAAAAGGCTAACTATCCTTTGGCTTTCCCAACTCTGCCAGCAGGGGGCACCAAGGGACATAGAAACATCGGAGGAGAGCAAGGTTTGCTCTAGCTTCTTTAAGCTTAGCCCCGAGGTGATTCTTTTTCCCACTTGCTTTACCTGTTAGATTCCATTTCGCTGGATTTTTTCCTCGGAGTTTCAGACTACAGGTATCTACAGCTGGGACACCCACACTTGCTGACCCTTCTCAGAGGCCTGAGTGCAGCTCCAGGGCCCCCTCTTTGTCTCTGATTTTCTAATTCACCAGGGCAGTAGAGTTCACCCACAGGTTTGAACCACAGCCCCGATGAACCCCTGAGTAGCTGAGCTAGCCCAGCTCTCTCCCTGAGACACCCTCACTGGGACAGCAAGCTGCTGCGTGTGGCTCCTAGCTCAGTGACAGCTCACGGTTGGTCTTTGCCATTGCGGCTGTCCATTACTAATCCCTTACACTGAGTTCTTTCAAAGAGCAGACAGGCTTCCGAGCTCCTAACTGGACCCTCACTGACACGAGAAAGTCTCAAGAAAAGGCTTTGCACTGAGGCTGGACCCCAGCTTCCAAGTAGCATAGCTCTGTCACCTAGTGTGTCACTGTTAGGTGTTTAGATAAGAACAGACGACGTGGAGGCGAGTAAGGACGGACCTTGACAATCAGCTTTGAATCCCACCACCTCTAACCTGGTAGTGCACCAGTTTTAAGAGCAGCCCCTTCTTCAGAACTACAGTACCATATGAAAGGGTCAAGCGTCAGGGCTCGTGTGAGCCCATTCAAGAAAATCTGCATCCTCCTGGTCAACAGAAGGGAATCTGAGATCTTCTTCTGCCCCCGGGGTGACCCTGGAGACAAGCTCCCTGAAACCCACAGACATGTCTACTCTAGAGCCCTTAAGAGTCCATCCAACTTGGCCCCTCCCTCCCTCATTTAGTTGCTTGCAGATCTTGACTGCGAAGCCGTCCCCTCTTCTGAATTCCAACTCAAAGAGCACGACTTTTCATCCCATCCCTAACGCTTGCCCTGGCGTCTGGATTCCCTCACTCTGTCTCTAAAGGCAGCACCACCACTTCCTCCCTCCCTCCCTCCTTCCCGAACCTGCCTGTTGTCACCCACCCTAACTCAAGGAGCGTGATTTCCCTTCTCCTTCTCTGTCTCTCAACAACTGCTGAGATTTACACTTGCCTACCCTGATAGTTTTCTCTCTGGTAAAATGACATTCAAGATCCCTTCTGAGTCCTTTTCAGAAATAATAAGAACACACAAAGGGATTCCTCAGTGACATCGGCATCTCTAAATTCAGCATGATGTCTGCTCTCAAAGTGGGTTAGGTTATGGTGAGATACAGCCATCTGCAGTATTTGTGGGGAGTTGATTCCTGGACCCCACAGACACCAAATTCTTCACATGCTAAAGTTCGTTGTGTAGAATCCTTGTGGAACCTATGCACCTCTTTCTTTATTATTTAAATTATCTATAGGTGTTGCTTATAAAATGGAATCTCTCAGAGTAAGAAACAGCCTGGTGTGTGTGGGTGGGGGGGGGAAATCATAGTTTTATACAATATAAAGAAACTTAGGGTTAGGCACACCCTGACCTCAATTCTCCCAATCATGAATTTCGTGTCTTCAAAAATGTGAACCAAATAAACCTCACTTCTTTATAAAAACACCAAGTTTTGGACACGTTGTAGCAACATGAAAAGGACGAAGACATGGTCAGAGAGCCAGATGCTGTCTAAGGTGTTTCATTGTAAAGAATTCCTGAGTTCTCAGGTGCAGTCTTCAGTTAGCTGGTACAGCGGATCCATGGTCACCAGCAACCTGAATCCTAAACCTAGGGAGTGTCTCAGAATTTGGGGCACGGTGACCTCCAAAGCCAAAAGCTTTGTCAGTAAAGACAGCAACAACAGGAGCCTCCACATCAACCCTTTTCAAAGCCCACGGGGCCACCAGTGCCATTGTGTGCAACAGCAAGCGTAGCAGAGCCTGCAGGACAGAGGAACCAGCCTTTCCCTTCCAGCCTGGGAGCATCATGGACGGGCGTATCACTTTCAACCGTTGTGACCTGACCATCAATCTGCCAGATGCACTTCAGATTCCCCAACTACCTCAACACAGAGGCCATCAACCACATGGAAGCAGCAGCTGGTACACAGTCACCAACAGAGGCAGCTGCACAGCTCTCTGTTCCCCATGAGCCCCACAAAGCAAGTCCTGCATTTTTGTAGTGCTCTGTGGGATTCTATAGGGTGTACAATGCAAGTTAATCTCACAGCTCTGTCAAGCCCCCAGTATGGGAACCAGGGCAATGGTTGAGAGGTGGGGAGATTCTGAGGTTTGGAATAAGAATGCAACATTTGAGCTGTGTCTGGGTTTTTTGTTTTTTGTTTTCTTTTGCTTCTCATGCGCCTAGTATTTGTCTAACAAGCTCTTAGTTAAACCGAATGAGCAGAATATTAGTCTGATTTGTTTTTCTGACGGGCAGGGATGGGCACTGCTTAGCAGTGATGCTGAAGGGGCCATAGCTGTGTACAGCGCATGCTCAGGGCATCCCACGGGAAACGCAGAAGGTGTCATCTTTCCTGCCTATTACATCACTTGCCAGCTGCCTTATGCCACTTGTAATTAGTTAGGTGATGACTCTGCTCTCAATTGCTTTCTAAAATATATATGGGGTTTAGCTTGTAGGGATGAAGGAGAGCATCACCTTTTGAGGAGACCAGAACTGTCCATTCTCTATTACAGAGTGCTCATTCCTAGGATGATCTCCTACATGAAGCTAGAGATTTATCAACAGAATTATTCTTGCTTCTGAGAAGTGATATCGATAACAGCTGTGTTTATCTCCAGTGAGATATGCTAAAATTAAGGGCCCATTTCCAAGTGATAGTGTGATCACCGCAGAGGATAGAAACCCCAGATGTTCTACAGATCCCGTAGTTAAAGGCACCACCTAACTCCTCTGGCATGTTCTTAAGAATTCCAGGTCCAGGACCCGTCATCTCATCAGAATAGCCATTTTCTTCAGCAGACGTGATAGTTGCATCTCATTCCACTTGTTTAGGTGTAAGTGGAAGGAAAACGGGGGGGGGGAGTACAGGGGGAGCAGAGACACAGACAGCCAGAGAGAATTGTGTTGTGTGATTTATACACAAATGCACTTACAGAAATAGCCTCCTCCACAAAGTATACTTTTTACAAAAGAAAACATTGTATTTTTCAAAATGAGCCTGGTATGGGAAAATCTTCTTTAAAAACTTGCAATTTGTTACTTTGAAAATCCAGATGCAAGGATATCCATTTTAAGTACAACACAAACGTCTCAGTATTTTTCAGTCTGTGTCTTTAAATTTTATTTACAATTTAAAAATCACTTAATTGAAATCAGGTTATGGGGCTGGAGAGATGGCTCAGTGGTTAAGAGTTTACTCAGTTCAACTCTGAGCACACACATTAGACAGCTCACACACACACCTATACCTCCAGCCGCAGGAGGCCTGACACCCATCCTGGCCTGCGTGAGCACTGCACTCATAACACACACACACACACACACACACACACACACGCGCGCGCACACGCACATGCACATACACACACGTGCAGAATTAAAAATTGAAAACAAAATACTTTTAAAAAGAAATCAAAATAACTTGTATTCATCTCTTAGATTTTCTCCTCCACAAAGGAAGGTGGTAAAGAAGCCTGTGGAATCTGGACCTAGATACTCAGCATGGAAGTTTTGATCTGCATCCATTAAGTCACATTAGCCACAGGAATGCACAGCCATGCGCTGCTGTTGTAAAATTAAGTCTTCTGGGTTGATGACGGTTCCTCGTTGGCTGTATGAGTTAGCAGGGTGCTACTTAGGCATTACTATGGAGTAGATGGAGTTGGGTCATTAGCACAGTGACCTGATTTCGCATTTACCATGGAGGTATACAAAGCCTTCTCCAGAAAACTGAGGTTTTAAATTTTAGTAACGTGAGATGCTACGAATCTCAAACAAGCGTTTGAATGTACGATGACTTATGTTTCTGTTTACGTAATGTTAGTTTTGATGTGTATGTTTCTGTTTATGCAGTGTTAATTTTGATGTGTCTGTGGCCTGTGCACATGGATGAAATAGCAGACCTGTTCTTCTTTCCACCCCTTTCTATTTCTCGGTGCTGTTTACCAGTCCTGTCCTCTTCTTGATCCCTGATGCTCTTCCTTTCTTCAGTCCCTGGAATATACAGTCTTCCCGTGACTCCTCCCATTAATAAAGTCACACGAAAAAAAAACTTCTAAGCTTCCAGTCTTGCCTGGTAGGTCTAAAGACTTTTCTTTGGTGACATATTCTTTCATCTTTACAATACTACTGTGAGGTAGATAGGAGATAAGTGATTTTTACCCTCATTCTGCAAAAGCACCAACACGATGTACAGGGAAGAGACTGGATGAGATACACAGCATCTGAAGCAGGAGCAGCGTGCCTCCCTGTCCTGTTTTTCATCCTGTGTAAGGAAACCAGGCTCGTGGCATATGTCCACGGTCAGCGACTCTTGAAAGCCCATTGCTCCACATTGCAAGCAGGTTCACCTTGGCCAACTGAATTTGCTCTGTTGAGTACAAAATGGCGATAACTGTGCTCCGACTTAACATTTGGTTCTCTTTATTTGGAGATTTTCCTTAGTCCAGAAGATTAGTCCAAAAATGTTACTGCCCTTGACATCACTATTTTCCCCTAGGGACTCTGACTAAAGAGCATCCATCCACAGGTGACTGCGCAGAGCATCCTCTCAGAGCTTTCATCCTCCCCTCAGAGTGATGCTGAGGGCTGTTTAGAGTCTACAAACATCTGTGCGTTTGTGACACCATCTAACAGAGGAGTAACAGCCAATGTTGTAGACACTTCAGGAGAGAGACCAAGAAAGAAGACTCTTTTTACTATCTTGTTAATTTTTTGCATTTGGGACATTTGATATGACTCCTGAAATTGGCCATGCCTCCTTTTCTGCCTTGGCTAGACTTGGCTTTATTTGGTTGTTCTATCTCCTGACGATCTTATTTATGTCTGTCTTCTCTTTCTTTACACTGCCATGTTATGTTCCCATCGCTTTTTCATTTTCAAACTAAATAAGGCATAGAGTTATTTCAGGTCCTCAGGTCTGGATTTCTATCTGAATAGAACATTCTTTCCATTAATGCCACTGATTCAGTGCTCCTCTGGCCTCCACATCAAAATAAGCCAGACTTTCTTAGGTCAATCTGTTTTTGTTTGTTTGTTTGGTTTGGTTTAGTTTTCTTTTTTGGTTTTCAATTTTTTGCAAGGCGCTTACATTTGGTGACTTTATTGTTTGATGGGAAACAGAAATTTGTCCAGATACATGGCAGTGTTGACAAGATCCTCAGCAATCACTGACCCTTGGGGCAAGGCGTGAAGACAGGAAGGACATGACTAAGTAGAAAAAACATAACCAAAATAAAAGTAGACATGCAGCTCTCCAGTCACTAAACATGGAAGACAGAGCTGTGAGCAAACAAGATTATAAAATGCAAGAAGCATGCAACAAGTGGCCACAAATTATGTGTTTTTCCGAAGCCACTCGGCCAGCCTGGCAATTCTCTTCTTGTTTTTCAGATTCTCTGTCTTTATTGCCTGTAATTTGGCGTGAGCCACAGTCCTCTGGTGCTCCTCCAGCACATTACCCAGGAACCTCTGCAACTGGAAGGACACAGAAAAATTGATCAGTGCCACCAAACTTCACAGAAGAAAACAAGAGTTCCCAGTACAAAGCAAAATGACTTTGCAAAGAGGCAACGGTGGTTGGAAGGAATACCTACATGTAAACCTCCATCATGTGTCCCTGGGGAGGCTATTACTGAGACAGTGTGATTAAGACCATACTTCCCCAGAAGGATGGAATGTCCATGAAGTCAGAACTGGGTCTTACTAATTCCTTTATTTCCAAAGAACATCATAGCTTCCAACAAATAGTTGCTGAATGTGTATTGGCTATTGCACAAGGTTTGTGAACAGAGACACAGTGAGAGCCTTTACAGAGGAACTTGGTATCAATATCAATGAATCTTTTATCTGTCTTTACAGATGTTATCCTTCATCTCTGCATGTTTTAGTCAAGTTGGAAGTTTGTAGATGGCATCATCTTTTATTTATCTGAACTAATAAACAATTCAGTAGAGTTTCAGAAAATTAATATGCAAACACCAGTACTGATGGGCAAACACCTGTCCCATTTGACACTGTACCTACAGCTTCAGAATTTGGAGTCTGCCCTGCTGGGTTACTCTTCTTCTTTGATCCACTATTTCTTTGTTATGTCCCAACTCCTCCCTTTTGTAATGTGCTGTATATTCTGTGCCATTGTAGACCAGAATCATGTAATTTGCTTCTTGATTTTACAGGACATTATGATTAAGAGAATGCCTTGAGTCTTAGAAGAGACTTTACCTTGGGACTTTTAAACAGTGTTGAAACTGAGCAACAATGGAGACTTTTGAAGTTGAACTAAATGCATTTTTTATTGTGATATGGTCACAAGCCTATGGGGGCCAGGAAGCAGATGTGGTGGTTTAAGTGAGGGTGGCCCGCATAGGCTCATATATTTGAATGCTTGGTGCCCAGTTGATGGAACTGTTTGGAAAGGATTAGGAGGTGTGGTCTTGTTGGAAGCGTGTGTCACTGGGGGTGGGCTTTGAGATTTCAAAAGCCCATGAAATTTCCAAATAGCTCTCTCTTTTTCTGCCTTGTGCTTGTGGATCTAGATGTAAGTTCTCAGTTACTGCTCCAGTGCCATGCCTGCCTCTGCCATGGTCCCTGCCATGATGGTCATGGACTCTAACTTGCTGTAAACAAGCTCCTGATAAATGCTTCTGTAGGTCACCTTGGTCATCGTGTCTTATCACGGCAACAGAAAAGCAACTAAGAAATAACAAAGGGAATTGCTCCAGAGAAACAGAATGTAAGGGTAAATTTGTTAAGTATCCAGAACAGACTTTAGAATTCACCAACATTTACAGTTCTGTAAGACTCCGTTGGTAATATGAAGAGCACTGAAAGCCCATTGTTAAAAATATGGGGGGGGCGGAATTTACCAACTGTACATATAACTTTTGAAAACTTGTAGAAAAATAATAATATTGGCTTGTTACTTTTAACATCTCTGGACAAATTGGCAAAGGAAAGAATGAGTTTATGATAAAAATTAACCAACCAACTTCTTGTATCTCAGGATACCATGGTAAAGGAAAAGAACAAACTCTGTGGTCAAATTAAATAATTTATAGCATCTCTGGATATAGTGGCAAGAAAGGAATGAACTCAGTGATACAATTGATTGGCTCCAGACGCACAGAACCAGTCTAAATGTCTCTGAGTGTGCCCTGGAAGAGAATCTTTTCTCCTGCAGCCACAGAACTCAAATTTCAGAGAATCAAACCAAAGCCCTCATTATACGGTCGGCTGAATCACACCAAAAACTCAAGTCTGAACCTTAGAATGTATAAGTTGCTAAAGTAAGAGCATTGACTGGTAAGGAATAGGATCCTGTGGCATGGGATGGAGATGTGTAAGAAGATCCTACTGTGACGGAAGACTTTGAACTTCAGATCCTGAAGGGTTTATCTCACCTGAAGAAGTCATCTCTACACCCTTAGCAGAGGATGCATCTCCACTCCCTTGTCCTGTAATATTGACTTCTCTGCCTTTGCCTGAGGAAATTAACCCTTATTGTATGCCCAACCAGTAATCTTCCCTGAAGGAGATGCCAGACAAGAGAAGGACCTCCATAGTTGCCTGCATACCTGTAACGACTTAAGGCTGAGCAGGCTCCTAGAGAGGGCATAGAAAGTGTATGTAGTCCATGAGGAGGTGCACTACACCACTAAGAGCCTGTTCTGGTTATGTATTTGCCTTTGTTGCAATACTGCTTCTGCCCAAACAACCATCCATGGACTTGACAGAATGCCTTATCCACCATTGTGGTCATTCCACACATCTTGGCTTCTCACCAAGGAACTCATTTTACAGCCAGAGAAGTGTGACAGTGGTCCTACAGTCACAGAATTCACTGGCCCTACCATGTTCCCCCATCATCGTGAAGCAACTTGTTTAATAGAATGATGGACTAGCCTTTTGAAGAAACAGTTACAGAACCAATTAAGTGGCAGTATCCTGGAGGGCTGGAAAAAGATTCTCCAGAAGGCAGTGTGTGCTTTGAATACATGCCAAATAAATGGTATGATTTCTCTTGTAGCCAATATGTATGGGTCCAGAAACCAAGGAAGGGGTGGTAAAGGGACTGACTGGTTTCATTCACTGTCACCCTACTGGCCTACTAGGGAAGTTTTTCCTTAAGTTCTTCTGGCCTAGAAGTTTTGGTTGCAGATGGAAGAGCACTCCTGCTTGAAGATACAACATTCCATTGAACTAGAGGGTCAGATGTCCCCCTGTCCACTTTGGGCTTCTGATGACCTTAAGTCAACAGGAGTAATGATGTTAGAAGTCATTGATCCAGACTACTAAGGGGATCTTGGGTTGTTTCTGCAATGGAGCTGAGGAAGATTATGCCTGGAGTGCAGGAGATCCTTTAAGCCAGTGGCTCTTAGCCTTCGTAATGCTGTGACCCTTTAATACAGTTCCTCCTGTTGTGGTGACCCCCAACCATAAAATTATTTCATTGATACTGTATACTGTAATTTTGCTACTGTTGTGAATATAAATATCTGATATGAAGGATATCTGGCATGTGGCCCACACATTGAGAACTGCTACTTTAGAGCATCTCTTGATGTTATCATGTCCCATGATTAAAGTCAAAGGAAAACTACAGTAAACCAATCCAGGCAGGATGACGAAAGGCCCAGACCCTTCAGGAATGAAGGCATGGATCACTCCTGCAGGAAAAGAGCTCAGACCTGCTGAGGGGCTTGCTGAGGGTGGAGGAAATAGGGAATGGGCAGTAGTGGAAAGAAGGTAGTTATAAATCCAGCTAAGACCTTGTGACCAGGTGCAGAAGCAATAATTATAATTGACTTGAGTGTGTCTGTTTTATTTCGGTAAGAATGTGTTGTGCATATATATATGTATATGTATATATGCATGTATATATATATATATATGATATTTGTGTTTTGTTTCCTCTATGTTTTTATCATGTAATATCAATTTAAGTAGTATCCATTGTTATCATATTTAAGTTATGACACTAAAAGAATGTCCCCCAGGTGACATTACCACCTAGTCTCAAATATATAATGCATTTGTGGTTTTATATGACATAGTTATATCATGTTAGACATAATTATGACTTGGTTATTGCTTTTACTTAGAAATTAAGCATGACGAAGGAGATACTGTGTTTCCAGTTAGCAAAAAGTGGACATGTAATAGCTATTCTTGGTTGTACACCTGAATACATCCAGAATTAACTAAAACCCAAGAGCCGGGGAACTCCTTGTGAGGGTTTTTTCATAGTTGAATTATTTGAGGTGGAATGATCCATCCTACATGTGGGCCACGCCTTCCAATGGCAGGCCACATAAAAGGACATGGGAGAAGGCAGTGTTTGCTTGCCCTCACCCTCAGGGTCAAGTTCATCCTGTTCTGAGGCTTTCCTTCCCTTGTGTTAGAATCTGCCGCTTCGGGGTTCCAATGCAGATTGCATCCCGGCAGCCCTCTAGGACTTTCTTGGGACTCCAGCACCAGACTGCAGCTGTTGAGACATCCAGTCATGTGACCCGAGCAACTATGGGATCCTTGGCCTTTCCATCGGGAGACAGACATACAGCCACAATAGAATACTTGAACTACAACTTGTAAACCACTCTGATAGATTGATAAATTCCGTGTGTGTGTGTGTGTGTGTGTGTGTGTGTGTGTGTGTGTGTGTGAGACGAGAGAGAGAGAGAGAGAGAGAGAGAGAGAGAGAGAGAGAGAGAGAGAGAGAGAGAGAATGAATGTAAAATTCTATCAGTTTTGTTCCTTTAGAGAAATCGGGCTAATACAATACCAATAGTGCTAAGCATGAGATGGATGATTTAGATGAGCATATGGTTTTTAATTTCAGCAAGTGAAATATATCAAAAGTGCTTTCCAAATATCCGTATACTTCCCAATACTCTTAGTGCTTACCTCCATAACCTGTAGGTCTGTACTTACAGTCCTCCCTATGACCCACACCAGATCATCTAGTGATTCTGGTCCATACCTGCAAAGTAACAAAGTTCCAGTCAAAGGACAACAGTGCCTGGCAAAACAGCTACATGCTTCAGCAGTAGATAAACAGTTAATATGTAGCCCCATCGAGACACCCTCACAAACCTAAGTGAAACCATGGATGAAATTTTCAGCTTCACCTTTAAGTAGGAAATCTCTTATGTAGAGAACTAGTAACACTAAAGAAATACTTATATATACTGTTTTGTGCACCAAAGTTTTCGGTATTATTGAAATATTAATTAATTTATTTAAAGCAATAATTATATGCATCTATTCTATAGGCAGTTATGATTTATAAGGGTGTAAATAAGTAAATGATGTCCCTCCAGAAATAATATTAAAAATATGGAATAAATTTCAAAACCACTGACTAAAATGCCCGGAGGTATATTTAAAGTTTTATATATATATATATATATATTTTCTTTTTTGGAGTGTTCATTTCTGTCTTCTGAGTCCCAAAATGTCTCAGTATCATGAATGCTCTAACTCCATTTAGGAAAGATTGTCAAGTGTTCAAAGAAAGAACAGGTACATACCAGTGCAAAGTACGGCTGTAGCATGTAAAGAAAAAAGAAATTTTGGATGCATTAAAAAAGAAAACAAAATGGAAATAGGATTATTATGGAGTATTATAGTGGACTAAACAAGAAATGGTCAAGTTGCTTTGGTAGTTAATATATGTAATTGATTAACTTCAAAAACTGTAATTGTGAATTTCCAAATTGTAAGTTACTATAAGAGTTACCTATCTATAGGAATCAGAGTGAGAGAAACTGGCACCTTGGCCTCTCTGCGTCCTAGATGTGACGGAAGCTGAGGCTGTCTGAGTGAACAGGGCTCTGTGTGTAATCAGGTGGGCAAAGCTGGGCTGTGGCCAGGATCAGCAGCTCTTGCTCTCCATCCTAACTAGCCAAGTAGAAACTTACGAGACAATACAAGAAACAAGTTTCCAAACAAACAACAGCACAAGCCAAGTTCCAAACAAGAAATCTGTCTCCTGAGATACAGCCGTGACTTCTCCACCAGACACCAGAGAAAACTGACACCAAAACGCAGGGGTGAGAGTTACTCTGATGGCTGTGGTTGTGGTCATAGTAGAGCTGGCCCTGGCCCTTGCTGGCTGACAACAAGAGGCAGGGGTGAGTTTGCAGTGACCTTGAGCAACTGTTCAATTGTAAAATGAAACTAACATGGAAGCATCACCCTGAGGATTCGGCCAGTCACCAGGTCTGGGAGCATCTGCTGGGGTCCCTACCTCATCCCACTCCCTACCTCATCCCACTCCTCACTCACCAACCTCAAGATCTCCTTTTGAGACACACATGGTTTACTGCTCTGCTTGAGAGAATATCTCTTGCAATATTGATGATCAAAACATATGCACTATAAATGGTTTACCCTTGCCAGTTTCCAACATAGTCTAACTGTTATGAAGACAAAAGCCAATGCGTGCCAATATAGTTGTCTTATTTTTACTTAATTACTGACTTTGAGACAGGATCTCACTATGTGTACCAGACTGTGCTAGAAATCTCCAAAGAGCAGACTGGCCTCAAATGCACAGATTTCTGCCTGCTTCTGCTTCCCACGTGCTGGGATTAACTACCAAAACCAGGTAGTTAACCATAAAAAAACAAGGAGTAGGAAACTGAGTTAACATGTATTCATGAGTTCTTGAGACAATGAAGGGACATATCCAGGAACCTTTCATGCCCTGACTCAAGAGAAATGTATGCATATTTGTACTTGTGTTATGATAATCATTTGCTAAAACCAGAAAATATAGGCTGAAGGTGGTATTATAAAATGAATATCTACCATAAATATTGAAAGCAACATATAGATATTACTTGATAAACAATTATGTTTGTAATATATTTGCTTTCTGAGTCTATGGGAGCCAGTGACTTAATCCCTTGTAAACTCTGTAAAAATTTCTATAAAGTATCCCTCATTCTTTCCTCCCCATGTGTTGCTTTCTGTGCTGCTCAATAAATATAGACAAAAACCCTTTGTTAGGGATAGACACAGATACACTCAGATGGACAGACACACTGAGACAGAAGCAGACACAAGGACAAATTCACAAGACAGGGACAGATTAAGTCTTGTTCAAGAGACAGAAGAGGATAAAAGATACAAATAAGGGAAGTAGAGGAATCAAATGTGGGTTCACTCTTGGTTAAATGACACCAAGAGGAAGGTTTAATTTCTTCCCCTAATTCAACACTGATGTATTATTGATAACTCTGAGTTTGCCCAACTTCACTTTTAGACTAGGAAGGAAATTCTTAGGCTTCATCAAAAACAATAGCTGTCATTTCATAGAAGACAAAACCAAACCCTACTCATCAATTAGCAATCAGACAATAGACCAGTGTTGTTTCACTTGAAGTTTGAGATGACAGAGTTGGAAAGCATTGTCTCTCGTATCTCTCTTTCCCCTGGGATAACTAGTCTAGCAGCAAATGTATACTTTACTGGCATTGGTGTATTTATGAATAGGCTCAGACAGTCTGTGACTCCAAGATATTAGGGAGCTGAAATGGCAGAAAACTCTGGGTTTCAATCTTGGAAATTTTATGATGCTAAAATAAAAGATACGTTTATAAAAATAAGTATTGGATTGCAAAAATTTTCAAGGGTGTGCCTTTTGAATCTGCTTTGTCATGAAGATTGCTGATATATTCATGCTCAATGCAGACTATAACTTCAATAAGCCATAGATATTCTGATATGTAAAGAGCTAATTAAACATTCCTGTGTCATTTAAGTGTTTGTAGCTTTCAATTTGAACTTCTGCTTTCAACAACTCATAAATTTTACTGTTTATTCAGGCAAAATTCAACAAGCCTTCTAATATAAATTAAGCCATAAAAAGAAATGTATTCAATTTCTAAAGCAAATTTAATTGAACATAAAATATTCAATGTAGTCTAATGTGTAAAAGGAGTGAACTAAATTTGATTTATCATAAATATATGATCTACGAATTTGGTGTTCTCTGGAATAAAATATAAAAGTAATGAAAGCCACAGTTAAAGTTCATGCACTAATAATCCTACAAACCTCAAGAAGATAATAAGACCCATTTAGAAGTTGTTTTTAGGGATTCCTTATATGGCTGTATTTAATGTGCTTATATAGGTCAATTAATTCAACAGTGAGAAAATGAACTCTTTAGGGAGTGGAAATTTAAGACTTAGTAGGAAATTGCCAACATTTTCCTGTTCACTTAGGCAAGAAAAATTCTTGTGAAGAAAAAAAATTACATGCGAGCCCACCTAAATTAAAAGCAGCCTTTCCCATGATTAAGGCCCGCGAGGTAGGGCATAGACTCCGTGCAGAAAACAATTGCACAAGTGTCAGAGAAACATCATCATACGCCTTTACCCTGAACCCACTTTCTCTTATACTTCATATGACTGTGACACATGTGTCAGGATGACTGAACCAACCATCCTTTTATTCTGAAGTGAGAAATCTACTCAGCTAGAAACAAGCTCTCATCACTTATTTTCCAGTCTAGCGACTTCAGCGGCTAAAGAAGTGCCAATGTGAGGACTGCCTCACAGCAGGACACGCGCTCTCGCCAAGGCCCAGGTGACACCAGTTATTTATCTCTGGACTTAGTGAGTTGTTTAATGCCATCTGAAGTTTTAATTTGCACCTGAGCTTTGTGTGAAACAAGGTGCTGGTGTAGATTCATCAGTGTTGCCCCACTGACTTCTGTACCATGATGGAGATGTTCTTTAGCCGGCTGTCCGATATGGTAACCTCTAGGCACACTGGACCACTGGACACTTCAAACAGGGATAACAGAATGGACACTGATTTTTAATTTTTAAAAATGTTAATTAAGCAGGGCGGGGGGCTGGTGGTGCACTCCTTTAATCCCAGCACTCGGGAGGCAGAGGCAGGTGGATCTCTGTGAGTTAGAGGCCAGCCTGGTCTACAGAGCGAGTTCCAGGACAGCCTCCAAAACAATACAGAGATCCACTGTCTCGGAAAACAAACAAACAAAAAGTTAATTAATGTAAATTTAAATATCTACATGTTAGCTAGTGGCTATGAGGTTGAGCCAGGTAGCCTAATCCGGTTTGTTGTTTGTTTGTTAGGATCTTACATTGTAGCCCAGAATGGCTTGGAAATCATTATGTAGTTCAAGTTTGCTGTGAAGTAATGGCCATCCTCCTGCTTCAGCCGCCCAAGCCCTGGGAATCCAGCATGAGACACCACACTCAATTCAGCTTTATATAATTTTAAAGACTGTACCAACTGGGACTAAGATAAACTTGGCTTTTGGGAAACAAGTAAAAGGTAGAGACTTCCCATCCTATCCCAGTTTCCAAGGGGCGGGTGGGCTTGGAAGCTTGCTTTTTAGTAGCCACTCTGTGTGACTCTGAGGCTTTGCCAAATTTGAGAGTCACTTCCTCTAGCTCATTTGTCCATGGGGATCACACTAGGGGTGAGAGGCACAACCTCAGTGAGCCAAAACAGTACATTCTGTCCTTAGCATCTGTAAGTGGTTTAAGTGCTCAGTAGCCAGACATTGTTTAGCACTAGCCTGGGAGGGATCTGTGACCTTCGTCTTCTTCAGCACACAGCTGTGTGTCAGAAGGGATGCAGACCATGGCACGTGCATCCTCAGGCAAGTCATGACTTACCCTTGGTGGGTTTGTTTGTGTTTATTGTTTATTTAATTATTTATAGACTTGGATGGTGGTAACTGAATCCAGAAGCTCATGTGTGCTAAGCACGTGTTCTACCACTGAGCTACACCCAGGTGTGTGTGTGTGTGTGTGCCTATTAGTTTTATATATATACATATATGTATGTATATATATTCATTACTGGGGTTACAAAACATGGGCATCGAGATGGGGACAGGTAGAGACCCTTATATCTTCCATTGCCCAGAGGCCAATAAGACATGCAAAGCACCTGACCAATGTAACCCCATCACTACAACCCTAAAAACATGCGGTAAGATCCACCTTGGAAAGGAGGGCGCACTTGGGGTCTCCGACAGTATCAAACAGGTCCAGATTCAGGAATAGAGTTTGCAGTCCAAAGACAATTGGTCACCATGGTTGACAGCCTTATTGACTTCCCTAGCTGGACCCCTGTGCTGTTCTTTTTGGCCTTCCTTATTGGGCCCTGTATGATAAACATCTTAATCAAATTTATCCAAACTAGAATAAATTCAGTTAAATTAATAATTTAAGAACCCACTATAACCGATTGTTCAAGACTGCACAGGTGCTATCAAGCTGATGATTCTAAGGGCACAGTACAATCCCTCCTTCCAGCCCCTAGGTGCAGATTCACCATATATACGTATACATGGTCATATATATTCATAAATGAAAACAGTTCAGTCCACGTATTACTTTGATGTGTGTTTTCAGGGCTGACCGTTTGGCACTGGACAACCAACCGAGAGGACCCCCTCTCCTGCTCCCAGCTTTGAGGAGTTGCCCATAGTTCTTTGTGTTGAGGACTCATGGGCTTTTCTTCATTCAGTTGGGTGTGTTCTTTGGTGTCGTCTTTAATGGCCACTAGGGAAGTTAGAAAGAAGCCACGGGCCGGGCGTTGATGGCGCCCGCCTTTAATCCCAGCACTCGGGAGGCAGAGGCAGGCGGATCTCTGTGAGTTCAAGGCCAGCCTGGTCTACAAAGCGAGTTCCAGGACAACTTCCAAGACAATACAGAGAAACCCTGTCTCGAAAAACCAAAAAAAAAAAAAAAGAAAGAAAAGAAAAAGAAAGAAGCCACGGAAGAAAGTCTAAGGACTCTAAGCAAGATGAGAAAGGTCAACAATGGGTTCACAGACACGGCAGAGTCAGACTGGTGAGACCTAGGGCTGGCCTGAGGACAGTGAGCTTTTCTTACAAGGTCAAGGAACAGAGAACAGGGAATATCAGATGGGCTGGTGAGGCTTGATCTCTGAAACCATGTAAAAAATAAAAGAAGAGGTGTGTATGTAATCCTAACTTAAAATTCAACTTCTAAATCCTCAGTAAGGGATTACTAAGTAAGAAGAGGACTATCATTATGATTAAAAATGGAAGCCATAACTCATACCCATTTCTGAGGGGTATCAGAAAGTGTAAATAGAAAATTATGTGTTCTGCTAACACAGTAAACCAAGAGTTAGATAACTTTAACCAAAAAATAGGAACAATATTTTCATAATATGACTATAATGCTGTTTCTATATGAGCTGAAGAAATAGTGTAGTATAAATGAGTTTTCATCTAATAACTTTAAATTTCCTAATGCAAAAAACCTCATCCCTTTTCATGTTCTAAAGGTGTTCAATAAGTATTTACAAAACATCCATTACTTCGTCCTATGAGATATTCACACATATCTATGGCCTTCAGCGTTTACAGTCCACTCATCTGGGAATGGTTGCAATCCTAGCACTTTGGAAGTTACACATGAAATTGAAGACTTGAAGGTTTTCAGCTACATAGTGAATTCAAGGACGTGGGCTTACACAAGACCCTGTTTCAAAAACAAAAATTTTATAACCTGAATATGTATTTGTTCTGAAGGAATAAACTTCTTTGCAAAAGGTGTCTTCTAACTTTTCAAGTGCTTAGGCCTTATCCATGTCTTATCTGCTAAATCTATAGTGTCCAAGTACATGCAGGGATTATTAGTAAAATATATGGCTATGTAATCTTAGAAGCAGCAACCATCAAGGAAATGCTCTCTGGTTTTTACATGTAAAATATAGTTTGTTGAACAGAAGAAGACCTAAGAAGCAAGCAGCTCTAATCCTAAGGTGTAAAAATTCAATAATACAGATAAAGAAATCTAGCCAACATTAGTAACATCTGCAGCATTCAGGTTAATGTTGTGATGCTGTTTCTTAAAGTCATGTGTGGGCTTCATAAAATACTGAATGGATGATGTATTCTCATACCAAAAATATGACTTACTCAAATTAGGATTTCTTAAGGGAAACTTTTTGATGGGTATAATGGGGAAACTGAGGTAGATAATAACATGTGAATCATTTTCATATAAAAAGCCAAAATTAAGGATAACTAATCTTTTATGTTTTCTAGTTTGTAGTGAGACAAAATACAGGGAAAAATCATCACCTTTCTAGTGAGTGAAAGAACTTTTTTTACATAGCCAGACTGAAGATGAACTCCTCCATAGTCAGTAACTGAGGTACCATGAGCAACAGCAATGCCTATAATGTTTGGGGTGCTCATTGGACCCCGCTGACCAACTTTGAAGAGAGATAACTCATACCTGGCACTGGGCTTTTAATTTGCTAGCCTATGGTGTCTGAAAGGAGCGTCGCTGCCCGATGAAGAAAGGCCTACATTCACGCATGTAATGGCAGCACCAAGTGGATTTAAAAAGAAAAAGAACACATGAAATGGGAGGGAACAGCATGAGTGGGTAGGGGAAGAATCCAAATGGAGGGAATAGGGGATGGGTTTGATCAAAACACATCTTACACGTGCTTGAACTTGTCAAACAAAAAATAAATTATCCAAACTATACTCTCTGATCAAAATAGGAAAAAATAACAGTTAATGACATAAATGAAATTGAGGTCTCGGTTCCTTCTTACCTGTCAATCACAGCTAGCCAATTGTTGATTAGAAAGTCCTTTGCAACATACCAGCCAACTTCAGATGCTGCCACAGCTTGTATTATATTTGTTTCATTAAAAGGGGATGGAGACACGGTGATGGCATACTCCATAAATCTACAAGAGTCCAGGTGTAAAATATAAACAGGTTTAAAAATCCCATAAAAATTAACCTTTCATGGGATTATTTTTCTCAATATGTTTTTATTTAAATTAGAAAACTGAATGTTTCCCATGTCAATCCCAGCTCCCTCTCCCACCCCTCCTCCCTTGTCCCTCCACCAGCCCCCCAGCCCCCCACATCATTCCCCAGGGAGGGTGAGACCCTCCTTGGGGGGGGACTTTAAAGTCTGTCATTTCATCCTGGGCAGGGCCTAGGCCCTTCCCCATGTTTCACGGGATTTTCAAAAGCTCATGGTTCTAAGTTAGTAATGTATAAATATGTTTATGTCCCTTTTTTCTCTGTTTTGGGGTATGGATTAAGATTCTCCAGCAAGAATGTTCATGGTAAGTTGACTGTATCACCTGTTAAGTGTCCATGGTTCTTTACTGCAGCTCAGAGCATAAATAAGATGGACCCTTCCCTCTTCCTCTTCCTCTTCCTCAGTTGTATTGATGTAAAATCTTAGCAAGAAGTCCCACTCCTTATCACTTCCCAAAGCAATGCCATTGCATAAAATCACTCTTCGAATCGGATGAGGTATTCTGAAAGGCATAACAAGAGAAGGCATTTCCCATGGTGTTTCAGGAACACAGTCACAGTAGTCATATATTCAGAAGCAGAAATTTAGTAAAATTATTTGATATCTGAGGCATAAAGGATAAAGAACTATAGAAGCAAGTGAGGGAGCTATCGTTAGCGTTATGAAAAGGTCATTCATTTAGCAGAAAGGCTGAGTTCTCAAAGAAGTAAATCATAATAGCGCAACATACATCAATAAGGTGGTTTGGCCTTGGGTCTCTTGATCTCATTTCCTTAGAGTCCATCAGATGTGGTGAATGAAAGGCAAAAAGTGGCAAATACCAGAGTCTCAAGTCTTAATGAGACTGCAAACTGCGATGGGGGAGGGGGTTCCATTGTGTTCACAGATACAGCATTACCAAACAACCCACTAAGATGTAAAACAGGCACAAACCAGACCTGCTGATCTGTAAGCGCTTAGTGGGGGAATAAGACATCAGCAGCCAAAGGTCATGGTCTCAACATATTGCTGAAAAAGTCCTACACTGTTTTTATACCCAGCCCTAACCTAGATCATCTTTTTTCACCCAGGAGACAGAACTTTGTAGTTCGAGGCCATCTCCTGGTCTATGGAGCTTGTTCCTGAACAGCTAGAGAAACCCTGTCTCGAAAAACAAAAACAACAACAAAAAAGATAATCTTTTTTCAGGAAAGGGTGTCTGAAAAGGAATTGAGATGCTCAACCAAGTGAAAGTAAAAATGATCACTCCTAACTATAAGCACAGCCCTGGGACAGAGGGACACTGTAGCCAGCACTCCCCTGGAACAGAGGGACACTGCAGCTCTTACGCAGTCTCTGGATCCTCCATCCATTTTCTGAAGAGCTCTTTGGACAGCTGCAGACAGTCTTCAAGACCCAACCAACAGGCAGTTTCAAAAAACTTTTCCAGTGATAGTCTTGAAGGAAAAGCCAAAGCAAAGCTGTTAATTTTGAATTACCACCTTCATTTCTTTCTGCTTCTAAGAATGTGTGTTTCACACGACTTTGAGAACTTCAAAATATCCTCTAGTAACAAGTTTCTTTAAAAAAACTTTTATTATGACAATTAGCGTGTACGTGTCCAAAGAGGAACAGAGAAGTTTGGTTTATGTTTATAGCTAAGCAATGGTCTGTGTAACTGTTCAAAATGAGTTCAGAGAAGCGCCCTGAGCAACAATGAAAGCAATGAATGTGTATCTTGCTGCAGCCATCAAGTTTGGGGTCTGGGCAAAAGAAGCCTAATTGAAAATACAAATGCCAGTGGCCTTTTGTCCAACCCTTCACTCTCATCTTGCTTGACCTTAAGTCGTGATAAGAGATTTGGAGAGGTCCCCTGACAGACACTCTTAGAAATTTATTTATGTGTTCACTCCCTCTCCCCACCCATTCCAAACTTGGGTAGCTGCAACAAGATGGGATTCTGTGAAAATCAGCCTCTCCCAGAAGTTGCTGGAGGAGAAACCCTAGCCCAGGATGCTGCAAGTGTCAACTACTGCAGTCTTCTTAGGAGAGCCTAGACTGTGTCTGGTTAACACACGTGCTGCACCGTTGAGTGCATTTGTGTCTTCCTGATCCTTCACACATTCCCCCCCTCCCCACACTATAGACTTTCATATCAGTCTTTTGGGTGTCTAGTTGTAGACTATGGCACTAATTTCTACTCCCTCAGCAAGATACTACTGAGTAAGAATGACTTATTTTTGTGTATTTTTATTTCTCATTTGATCTGATTGATTTAATCTTGATGTTTCTAGAAGCTGTTGTTGGCTACCACCCACCCCCAAGTCTAGAATTTTAACATACATACTCAACGGAACAGAGGTACCATAGCCTCACACTGTCTTCCAACGCTTTCCTAAACCATCATGAAAATGTTTTTACTTCCCATTGGGCAGTCATTTTCAGTAATTAAACGTGATCATATACAAGTGAATGATAAGTACTACTGTCAACCTAGTTCATATTTACATCATGGTACAATTCTTGCTAACAATAATAATACAGAGAAATATTAGGTAATTAGTTAGAAACTAGCAAGCTCAAAGGACCTGTAGGATGGACCTTATTGCATAATTAGCTCTAAACCCTCATCCCCTGTGTCCCTAGTAACATATCAGTTTTACAGTGATGGATAAAGGAAGAGAAGAGTTACAACTGTCTCTCTGTAAGATTTAAGATATCGTATGAAGGGGAAGAAGATGGGGGTAACAGGGCTTTGCTGAGGCCTATCCATTAATAAGGTTGTTTCTTTCTGATAAATATGTGTATTTTTATAGATTTTTCCATAATTTTCTTTTATCTGCCCTGCTATGTAAGTTTTAGTCAAAAGAGTAGGATAAGAATTGTGTCTCTGGCCCTATGTAGAGCTGACTTTATGAACTGCCAGAAAAAATCCTATCCAGCAGGAGGTTTTCTGGTAAAGAGCAAAGACAAATCATTAGGTCTTCCCTTGAGGGTTATTCCAAACAGACTGGCCATGGAAATGGCCCCTCAGATAAGGTTTAGTTCACAGCATATGCTAACATGTAGGTTGGCACAATCATCTCTCTTGACATTGTCTACTTTCATCCCTTAAGATTACTCCACTTGGCTCTGCAAAAAACTCTGTCTTCTACACTAAGTCCTGTGTGTCTTGTCTAATTGCTTTCTGTGGAAAATACAAAGACTGGGAAGCTGAGAAGTGTCCAGAGCTAAATCCTAATGGCAAGTCAACTTTTCCCCTGCTGGTTTTCCCATGCCTTTGATTTGCTGGTGTAGAGTCGGGGTGTCCTTAGCACAACCCATAACAGTACTCATTTAAAATTTCAATCAGCAAGTTAACTTATGCAAATATATGTACATTGCAGATCAATTAAGAATTCAAGATATTGCTTCCTCTGAAGACACACATAGTTCACCAGGTCTGGAGTTATAATTCTCATATAGCATACAAACTCTCTGAGTAATAGATTACTAATATTTTAGTTATTAAAAAAGATTCTCTTTCACAAATGTAGAAGCCCATCTACTAAGATAAGTCATTTTATTAAATTATGACCACTTAAAAATACTTACAGAGCTAAATAATTGTCTTGTAGTGCTGCCACATTTTCTCGAATTATAGCTGAATAAGTATTCCATATTGAGCTAATTCTCTTTAGCAAATACTTCTATAAACCACAAAGAAAAGTTACCATTATTTCTGTCACACAACACTGAATTCCAAGTATATTATTATTTGTCTGAAAGATATTAATAGAGAAACAACAGATGTTTTTTTCAGAAATGATCTTTGTTACTAAATATACAGATTTATTTTTAAACTACTCCAGGTTCAGTTGCTTCACACATAAAACCACAAAAAGTGGCACAAAGTGAGAGCTTAGTAAATGTTAGAAATTACAATCATTTGCTATCAGCCCAAATGCATCAGTTGATAAATACAAAAGTCAGGCATTCATTAACATTACTGAGAACCATAGATGCCATCCACCCACTGAAACTCTCTGAGGCAGTAAAAGTGTCAGCTTATACTGATTTGACCCAAACCAGTCATCAGAGTCCAGAAACCCTCCTGTAAGTCACCCTCCCTACACTCGGTTAAGCTCCCAACATTACTTTGGATACTAGAAAAAGGAGCATCTGGAACCAGAGGTGTTTACAACATCACCCTCAGCATGATCTAAAAACTCTCTTGTAATCATCACTCTCTGGTTTGCTTGTGGAACTGGACTGTCCAAAGTGTTGGTTCTAAACATCTACTCTGATCTTACTCTTGACTTCTTCCTTCCAAATCTAACTGAAGAGCTACTGATGGGTATTTTCCATTTTCTGGTGTCTCACTGATGGCAGCTTGTGGTTGTTTCATTCATAAATGCCAATGTCTGTCTTTCTCTTTCTAACAGTGACAGAGGCTTTGAAACTCTTATTTCCTAGGATGAAATTGCTAATTCCTTAAGACATGAGTATTAGAATCATGAACACAGGGTTGATAAAAACTATTGGTTTTCCTAAAAATCTCTTTGGAAAATTATTCCTAATATATACTGTTTTTCTATAAGAAGATATATAATTTCTGTCATTTCTGGGTTTTTCATTCTTCCCTTCTTTCTCTTTCATCCTCTCTCTGTCTCTGTCTCTGTCTCTGTCTCTGTCTGTCTCTCTGTCTCTCTGTCTCTCTGTCTCTCTGTCTCTCTGTCTCTCTCTCTCTCTCTCTCTCTCTCTCTCTCCCTCTTTCTGGATACACCCTCACTTCACTAAGAATAAAAACCCTGCCAAGCTTCTCCCTCACTCATCTCTAAGGCCAGGTCTATGGCTAATGGATTTTCTTCTAATAATAATCAGTTGTGAGTAAAAAGAAATAAACCACCAAACATCTGGAATGAATAGAACATTGCTTTTGGAAAGGCCTGCCCAACAAACGCTGGCCAGAACATAGAAAGAGGCAAAGAGGGTTGATTTAAAAGCCATAGAACAAAGCATGAAATTACCTTCAATAATGGGTATATAGCAAAGTTGTTCACATCAGAAATAGCATCCCTGTTTATCAAGTTTACCAAGACTTCAAACCACACTAGGATTTCATCTTCTTCAGCAAGGTACTTGGTTAAATCAAGTGCTGTCTCAATTTCAATATAATTGTTTCTGTTTGGTTTAAAAAAACACACACTCAAAAAACCTTGACCTGCTAAAAGATCTTCTCTCTTTCCATATCTGCTCCACTTTTCAACATCTAACTTCAACAAGATGTGTAAACAAAGTCAAGTGGAAGGGTGACAGAGGTTCCACCACATCTGCAACACAGAACTCAACAAATGCTGCCAGGCTTGTGTGTTCACTCGGTTCATTCACACATCCACATCAGAAGCTGTAGAAACCCCAGACCAATGGTTGGTTATGAAATAATAAGTATTTGTTATGTATTCTTACGACAATAGATGTTCTATTCAACAGCTATCAATCATGAGCATTCTCAGTGAAATGCTCTGCCAGCTGCTGGTGGGCAGAGAAGCCAGAATATGACACAGCAGTTGTCTGCAGCTACGAGCATAACTGAGGAGTTCAGCTGGTACCTAGGAAGTCAGGGAGGAGTCTCAGAAAGGGTGAGGACTACTGAGAATAAGGTTCCCAAGGCAAAAACATACACATGAAAGCACCCCAGGGTAAAGGGAAAGTCAGAGGCCTCAAGGAAGAAACACTGGAGGAGAGCACCAAAGGCCATGTGTAGTTGAGACAGTCAGAGAAGGCAGCACAGGACAATGGGGAAACAGCAGGGAGCACTGCGGTGGGCTGGCAGAGCTCATAGGCAGGGTGTTTCTGTGCCTAGTGAGAGGTAAAACTAATGTGTCTAGTGAGAGACAAAGATAATTGATCAGAACAAGAGGAGATCATTGAAAATTAGAATAAGGAGTTAAGATTTCTTCGGAAGGAAATCTAGCTTTTTTGGCAACTAAAATAATGTGATCAAATTGACGCCTAGATCTTCTACTGCTGCAATGCTGAAAGTCCTAATGGAACTCAAAGGAACTAAAGGCTGAAAGCTAAGGAAAGAGACGGGATGAAAGGTGCTGGAAATGGCTTGGAGCGTAAGTAGTAGAAGCAGTAAGGTGAGAATTCAGAAGAGTGGACAGACAACATGGTGAGCAGCTGAGCATGAGATGCGGAAAGGGGGACAATGGGATGCCCTGAGGTTTCAAGTTTTGACAGTGGGGAGAAGAGTGATACACGTCACACACACATATACACACACAGGAGAGAGAGAGAGAGAGAATTATAAACAACTTAAAGACCAAAATAGCATCCAGTGGTTAAAGTAATAGGTTGAAATGACTACAGAACAAACATGAGACAAGGCTGAAAAGAGGGAGAGATGTCCATTTAGAACATAATTAGCATCTTAGATTGTAACATCTTAGCATCTTTCTGAGACTTGCACTTAATGGAACAGCCACTTAAATTATAAGACCAAATGAGTCATCCCATGGAAAGAAGGAAGACCACATAAGCATAATTGTGCTTAAGGATGTTCACAGTGATAGGAAGAAGTAAAGTCAGAAGGTCAAATTTCCATGGAAAAGTATCAAGAAGCCAAAAGGGTGATTCTTGGGTGGTGTATCCAGTAGTATCTAAGCCACAGTGACTCTAGAGAGGTGTTTCAGCCAAGCACAGAACAACAGGTATCAGAGGAAAATATAAAGAAATGACAAATACTCAATACTTATGACAGACATAAAGGAGGACACTTTAGGTAATTTATTACATATATATATGTACATATATATACATTCTTTTATTGCCTGAAAATTTAAATACTAAACATATAATAATATTTCTGGCTAAACAGTGGCATGGCTTATACTAAACAAATCTAGTACAAACATGTAAAATTTATAGTTCTGCAGTATATCAAAATGTAACCCAGGTATTACTACCATTAGCTGCCAGCCATCACCTTTGAGTAATTTAAAAATCTCAGTTCTTAGTCTATTTATATCTGACAATTTATGCTATAAAATTCCACTGAGAACATAGAATCTGGCCCTAATCTTGTGTGTGTGTGTGTGTGTGTGTGTTGCTGTTTCATAGCAATCCTCCTGCATCAGTCTCTCAGGGGCTGTTACAGGTTTAAGCAACCATGCCCTGCTTTTGACCCTATTCTTAATCAGTTAAGGCCTCTGCACACTAAAGAACAAATGTCATAGTCACAAGACTACTGTTTTCATAAAGTTTTTAAGATATCCCCTTTGACAGTGAGAGGAGAAAGGACACTTACTTAGACAAGGCAAAAGCATCGCTCACCAGCTGCAGCCTGTGAATGACAGGGATGGCCTGCAGAAAAAAAAACGTAAACATGGTCAAGAAAAGAGGAAAATATTTTCAAAACAGCAACTTCAAGACCATCAGTGCCTAAACATCCCTTCCTAAGAAATTGTCTCCTAGACAGAGAGTAGTGGCTACAAAGACCAGCTCACAATTTACTTATTATGTATGTGGTTTTGATGACATCCTTCTGATATCAATCATAATGCTTAAACATGGCAGAAATTTTAGCCAAATATTCCCCTAAAACATACTATGTTAAAAAAAACAAAGCTCCAAAGTGATGTTTAAACACTTCTCCAAAAGAGAATGTATGTATTGAATGCTATTATAATGTCTCGTTTTCAGGAAAGCTTTGGCCTAGCAGATCATAAACAAATGTTACTTAGCACTATTTTGTAGTGCTGGGGGTTATTTTAAATGGTATCTGCACTCTCAGGATTTCAGTGATGTGACCCAGTGCCTCCATTTTCATGGAGAGGCAGAGGCCAGTTAGCAGCCTAAGTCTATAGCCTTCTCTCGTTGTGTCAACATTGACAGCCCACAAACTGCAGTCTCAGCTTAGGCCCTCTGAGGCTCCCAAAGCCCTCTGCCCTCCCTCCAACAGCTCCCAGCACATTCATATATTTGGTCCAAGGGAATCTATCTTCCCAATACTCCCAAGTGTTTGAGTACACCAATCCTAATTCTCTCTTTGCTAATAGTCTCATTTCATTGTGGTTAACTGCAACGTTTACATTTTCTAGATGAATTTGGGTAACACAAATTTTGTCTTATTTGCTCACCAATTGTGTTGCCAAAGTAGTCTGCTTAGGTGTTTCAATAAATCAGTCTACTACGGTGTCAGAGAATGATTTCCCTAAGGATGGAACCTCGTGCCTTTATGTCTTATAGTACCATTAGAAGCCACTAAGAATTTAATTAATCTGAAGGGCACTTTAAGAGAAAATACTATATGTAGCCTTCATAGCTTTAATTCAAATATCAATAACATTTTCTTAAGTTGCCAAGGATATTCTGAGTGCCTGACTTGTGCCTGTCCTCCATTTAACATAATGGACCATCTGACCTCATTTCCATGGAAACAGTTTAAGGTTAGCCTAAACCTTAAAGTAAGATTAGTCTATTGAAACCATTATATAGATGAGGAAATTGGAACACTAGTCAATTGCCAGCCCACAATCACACTTAAGGCAAGCAAAAAATGTGAGCTGATGTCCCCTGACCTGTAGCCCAAATGCTGGGCCAGTGTGCCATGGGCTGCCTCTACTATGAAGGCTGCTGTGTCTCCAACAGAGAAGCTTAGGACAGATTTTACTTCAGCTAAGTAGACTGTCCAAAGGTCCACATGAAGTCATGTGGACACCCAAGCCAGCATCTCTGTCTACACACGGAACTTGGCTTACATCAGTCAACTAAAGACTGACTGATATGACCTGGTCAACATTTTACCATGTATAGATTTCATCATGATTCACAGATTTTTAAAAAATAACTTAAAGTGATAGTGGACTATTGATATTTTACAAAGTAAATTTGCTCCTCTGATTGAGAAGACTAATTTTCAAGAATAAAATTAGTAATTTTCAGTGTATACTGTGTACCAATTGCAAGCTTAGAAATTTTAGGTATGTCTTTACCTACTTGGTCTCTAATACTCATGGACTCAAAACAATGATATTTTCATTGCAAAGTGAAAAATGGAGCTGAGCATCGAAGTAACTTCGGAAAACATATTCTGTCTCATTTCAAAAGGTAAACTTATTTTGGAAAGGCAAGAAGAATGTTCAAAATACACATTCAGACAAAATCAGTCCTTCCCAAGAATGAGAATAAAACTGTCTCTATCATGGGTGGTAGACAAGGTGCTCTCGGTCAGAAAGCCCATCCTCCAAATGACAATGGACGACACTTGATTAAAACACCAAAACCAGCGCATACCTTAGGATCTTTTTCAAGCTGTTGGCTTAATTTCTTCCAACCTAACTTGTCATAATTCACTCTGTAATATCCAGTCACATTGAGGTTTAGAATCACCCAGCCGTCATCAGAATCTGCAATTTGCATCTCAGGGAACACCACTATCAAAAAAAAAATTCAGTACTTCGTTTGTTTGTTTGACTTTTGAGACAGGATCTCTCTGTGTAGCTTTAGAGCCTATACTGGCACTCGATATGTAGACCAGGCTGACCTCGAACTCACAGAGATTCACCTGCCTCTGCCTCCCGAGTGCTGGGATTAAAGGCATGTACCACCACACAATAGAAGACTATACAGCAATGGAAATGAAGTGCCTTTTATAAAGTTTAAAACCCAAAATGATTTTATATAATGATATAAAATAGAATATACAATCTATTCAAAGCAAGGGAACAGTAAATACAAAATGTGACAGAAAACAGCATAAAAAGTTGGAAATTTTATCATCCGGCCTCAGTACATTTTTAATATAACATGTTCATACTTCTAGAAAATAAGCCAGTAAGATAAAAGTTAAGATAGCTCTTAAGTAGATACTGATCAGCCATATGACTAACATTCCTTCCTTCCTCCATCCCTCCCCCCCTTCCTTCCTTTGAAACAGGTTTTCTCTGTATAACCGCTCTGCCTATCCTGTAATTCTCTGTAGACCAGGCCTCAAGTTCACAGAGATCTACCTGCCTCTGCCTCCCAAGTTCTGGTATTAAAGGTGTGTCCTACCACTGCCCTGCTAACTAAATTTTCATGTATGATTACTTTTAATTTGAAGTATGTCTTTAAAGCTCTGTTCAATAATCAGGTTTCAAACACTCGACGTTTTTAACATGTTCGTCTCTGTTTTCGTAGACATGTATACATGAAGATGTACTTATATGCACATATAATGCACACATATGTTTACTTACTGCTGCTTTTGTCTAGCCACACTAAAGGTTGTGTGGTTCCATTTTTCATCCAAAAAATAGGCACAATCCATGTGTTACTTTTTGGAAGAAAAGAAAAGAATTAGTTATTTTCACACACAAGAATATACACACTCGGCCCAAATTAAAGAGATGTCAAAATACCAGACCTCTAAGTCCACGGTCAAACCCAGCAGGCACCCGGGGTTTTGCCCCTTGGGGTTACTTGCTGCTGCTTCTGTTAGCCAATGTTGCTTTGATTCATTATTATCCCTCCCTCTTGCTGTCTCTTATAGGTTTACCTCTTATAACACAAACAATTGCTGAGACTTCCTCTGTCTGCAATACTGAAGGGCTGATTTTACTAAATTATAGCCACCTGGCCTCACTCTGGGTTACTCAGATGCTTCAGGCAGACCCAAATCTGTCCATGCCTGGCAAGTGGAAGGGTAATTTCAAAAGGAAAAGCTTGCCAACATTTCAGAATGCCTCTCAGCCTCGAGCTTTCTCCCCATCTGAAGCAAGACCACAGGCATCAGCCACGACGTTTGCATTTACTGGACGTCTACTTTTTCCTCCCTCACTGGTGGCTGTGAACTGGGTGAGTCAGCTGACCACGAGGACTGCATTAGTCTTTAGGGAAGGTGCAGTGCAGGCAACTGTTTCCAGCCTTCTTCCTGTTCTCACATCTGGCATCTTAGTCCTTTAGCTGTGAGTCCGCATCTGTCTGCATACCTAAGACTGCCCGCTTCTCACAAGACTCGGGACACTAGAGTGCAGAGTCGATTCACCGTCGGTTTCTCTCCCCTTGGGTTTTGAAGAAAGAGTGGGACTATTTGATTTGTTATTGTCATTGGTGTGTGTGTGTGTGTGTGTGTGTGTGTGTGTGTGTGTGTGTGTAGAATGTGTGGAGGTGGACAACAACTTTTTAGAGTTTATTCTCTCTTTCTACCTTTAACATGGATTTCAGGAATCAAACTCATGTCATCAAGCCAAGCTTGGGGGCAAACCCACTGGACAACCTTGCCAGCCCCTTCTTGAAATGTTTCCTAGTATTTGAAAATCATTCTTTCATGCTGATATCCGCTACAATGAGATGTGATGATGAAAGCTACCTACTTAAAGCAGTTGCAAGTTAGCAATTAGGTGAAGAAACAGGAGGAAGGAAGACATAGGCGATGAGTAGCATGCTACCACTCACTACTGCATACTGCTGAGTCATCTCCCCATTCTCCTTATGTTGCAGACAATGCATATGGAGCTCAGAGAACTTGAGTAAGACCTACACACAGTCGGACGTTTGCGGAAGCCAGCATTTGAATCAGTTCTGAAGGCTATGATTTTGAAGTTGCAGATATGGCTTTAAATATACATGCATTTGTGTGCATTCCACAACATGCACACATGTGCACAGCACTCCCCTCAAGGATGTAGCTACCTCTCGATTCTATGTCTAGGGAAAAGACTGCAACAGAACCCTCTTTTTTTCTGAAAAGTTGTGCTACTAGTGACATCATCTTCTTGTTTATTACCCACAATCCCAAATGATTCATCTGTCTGATGGGCAATGAGGAACTCATAGAATTCTGATGGTCAGGTCACTCATGTGACTCTGAGTCCCATGTAAGTGCACACATTGCTCCCTAGTTACAGGCTTCTGGCCTTGATCAGTATTTAGGGTTCTGCCTCACCCTAATACACAGTGCCAGCCCTTCAGGGAGTGGCCCAGCAGAAGGGCGTGTGCCCAGCAAGCAATATACTTCCTCACTGCTGACTGGTTTCTGTTGCATTGTTGCTCAACCCCAAATCTAGTGATGATAGAGGAACAAAATAACCTACTTGCGGCTTACAAGAATTTGATTTTCAGCCTTTTCAAGATAAAACGGCTCTTGTCTCATGATCCCCGTAGACACATTTAAGGTGATGACTGGAAAGCCACCCTGATATGTCCAGCTATCCATTATGCTTTTCACTGTTGTTGGCAAATGGATTATATTCTGCTCATCTATGGCCTGATCAGAAAAAAAAAGCATCACAAAAAGACGTGGTTTATCAGCAAAATCTTTTGAAGCAGCAATCTCACCCAATGAAATGAAATAGCCATCCTATTGCTTCTTCATATGGTAATCCCCAATGGTTGATACTCAGAACTGTCTGTCTCTACATAGCTTTCCTCTAGAGTCTAAGAGGGGATTTTTTTTTTCCAGGACACTCATGGCAACAGAATCTGTGAATGCTGATGTGCTTATATAAAAGTGCTCCTACGGAAGCATGCCCTGCAAACATCTACAGGTGACTTGTAATACCTTCACAATGCAAATACTATGTGAACCTAATAGTTATTATATTGTATTGTTTGGGGAATAATGGCCCCAGATAAGTCCATATATATTCAGTACAAACAGAACTTTCTCCATTTCTCATCTTGGATTGCTTGAATATACAGATAGGGAACCACTGACAATACAAATGGCTCTTGGTTCACTTATCCATGTGTTCATTGAGCAAATATTTAGGGATCTAATAGATCACTCTCTAATTTGGGCACAGAAGTAGAGTGAAGACTAAAGAAGCACCTGAGACCTAAGGGGGGCATTATAAATGGGGAAAAGTCATGTTGCTGTGGCTCAGTCATTCAATCATGGCCTCCTGCTCTTGTAAGATATCAGACAAAACTACTCAGAAATAAAGTGTCTCAAGAAGGACAATCACCATTTGAAAATGTCTCCATAGGTCATCTTGCTCAGCATTTGAGTAGGAAAATGTCTCCAAATATGACTGCGGAGAGAGAGGAATTGGGGTTAAAGCAATAGGATGCCGAAGCAATTAACATTTGCTGTTACCTGGAGACACTCTTAGCAACTCACCTTAAGTGCATTGACAAACAAGTGCTGGTCCAGGAAACTGTGGAGCATCCGGGCCATACATGCGCCCTAAGACATGCAAAGCCACTCATCAGCTGAACAAAACTCAGTGTTTCAACACAGACACTTTCCACTTTTATAAACACTGTTCAAGCTATACTTCTTGATCCCAATTTGTTCTTGAATTCCCTGTTTAAATTATCCTCAGATATGTTAATAAAATAGCAATGAGTGAAGAGCAAACAAATGTCCTACATACAAAGAGCTGGGGTATACAAAAATATTTGAATTTTGATATTTGCATGTAAGAATAAGATTCTACAAAGCACAAGTTTGGAGCTGGGATGATGGCTCAGCCAGTAAAGTGCTCACTATGCAAGAAAGCAGGAGGACTTGAGCTCCATCCTTAGAATCCATGTACAAAAAAGCTAAGCATATGTGTTTGTTTGTAATCCTAGAACTGGGAAGAAAAACAGGAGATTCCTAGTTCTAGATGACTACCTGCTTAACCAATCAGCAAGCCCCAGGCCAATGAGAGAGTATGTCTCACAAAAACCAATGAGAGAGTATGTCTCACAAAAACAAGGTTGATGGTTCCAGAGGTACAACACACAAAGTTGTCCTCTGGCATCCGAACGTGCATGCGTGCAAGTCCCCCCCCCCCGCCACAGAAACCCAGAAAAGTTTACTTTCAATGCATTGAGGTATGTAAATCTGTTTATAATAGTACATGTCCCCAATATCTAATATGACCTCACTAAAATTATTTGCTAAGTGAAGGCTGACTAAGGCATTTTCTGACATCTATTAGGCAATAAGATTAAAGTTACTTTAACCATGTAGCATTTTATTGTCCTTGGACTCCATTCTACACAACTCTCTGCATTAGAAGAGAAGAAAGCCCGAATATGTTTTTACCTTGTTGTACGTATATATGTCAAAAAGTTCATTTATTTCCCTTGTTTCTGTGAAACTTTCCACCTCAGTGGACACAGCTCTAGACTCCAGGGCATGATCTTCTCTGAGGACTCCATGTAAAAAGTTAAAAAAGAAGATTTCATTCTATAAAGGAAAAGATTGAGTCACGTTAACTTCAGAGGGTTACAGAAATATAAAATCCAAAATCCCTAAGATAGCTTCCAAAACCCACATTGAAATGGTGAAAGAATAATTGAAAAGTGTCTGAATTACAAAATGACCCAAATACCAGAATTCCTTGGGCAACAAAACGACAGGCCATCCTCCTTCCTGCTTTCTTGCTTTTGTTTTGATTTTTAATAAGTTAATTGTAGAAGTGTGATTCCTAAGAGTCATGTATTTCTCTTAAAATAGGTTCCCTGCACCGTCTCTATGTAGCTCCAATCCACTACATTGTGTTGTCGATTGACTCAATGAATCTTTAAAACTGATTGGTATTTTTCCATGCATTTTCACAAAGCAAAAATCACACTAGACTTATAAATTGACAATGATGCTGACATAGTAACTGGAAAGACATCCACAGACTAGATCCAAGTGTTTGCAGTTCATGTGTTCTGAGACAGCATTTTATTACACTGTACTGGGAGCCACAGGACTGTCCAAGACACTGACTTTCCCTTGGGCACATGGCAAGAACAATTTCTTTCTGATGTGAAGCTAGAAAGAAAACTAATTTACAGCCAAAGAGGAATTTGGGCTGAATAAAAAAAGAACAGAGATTAGGAGAGATGTTGTATGGATATGCTGTCTGCACCCTGGTGGGTGGGTTAGCCCCTGATAGCCCTGTAAAGCCTAAAACCCCTACCAATGGAACTTGAGCTGACTTCTCATGCCACATGACACACCAGTATCAGGTAAATGTTAAAATTCTTCTCTACTTCCATCAGTTAATGTTCTGGTCAACTCCATTGTTTTCCTATCTTAAGTTTTGATTAGCAATAACATCTACTAGGCTTGTATGAGTTACTTGATTTGTTATTGTGACAAGATATACTATACTACCAAAAGCAAATTTCATGAACAGTCAGGAAGCAGAGAGCAACGGATGTCAGTGCTCAGTTCACTTTCTCTTTTTAATTCAATTAGGCCCCTCATGCATGGTATTGCACATAGTTAAAGTGGACCTTTCCACCATAATTAACCCACTCTAGATAATCTAATCTAGATTAAAAATAATACCAGATAATAACCTAATCTAGGTCATAGGTACATCCAAAGGCTAATCTTATATATGCTTATATATACTCTTATCTATGCTTACCCAGAAGACTGCCTCTTGGGTAAGTATAGACCTTGTCAATTTGACAGTAAGTATTAGTTACCTCTAGGCTATTGGCAAAATATGCTCTTCTGGAAATGAGAAGTCTATAGCATAGAATAATGGGTAAACAACTTTGTTGTTTGAGATGGTGCTTTGCTGTATAAAACAAGTTATTTTTTAAATTTTAAATCCTCCTGCCTCAGCTTCCTAAATAGCAAATGGTGTTACTCACTAAGCCACCCTTCTATACCAGCATTAGAAATCTCCATATGGGGTTGACCAGATGGCTTAGTGGGGAAGGACACTTGCCTCCAATTCTAATAGAGTTCGAGGCCTCACACCCATGTGCTGGAAGGAGAAAATGGACTCCCACTAGTTGTCTTCTGACCTCCACGGGTATGCTATGGCCTATGAACTTGAAACACACAAGCTTATTTATTTATATAAGTAAATAAATATAAATTTGGGGGTATGAGACAGCCTTTCCTTATATAGAGCTGTTATCCTGGAGCTTGCTCCGTAGATCAGCCTGGCCTCCAAATCACAGAGATCCACCACTACCACACAGCTGAATATGAAAAAATTTAAGCCAAAAGAAGTTTCAGTATAAATATCACTTAAACAAAAATAATAAGTAAAAATCTTGCAAGAAAAATAACATAAAAATCATCATGACTCACCTTTGATAGTTTTAGTAATTAGTAGTTATTGGATTTGTCTGTGTTTTATAGATTTTCCAACAATGAATATGCATTATTTTTATACTTGGGGGTAAATGCTCAAGTTACTTACCCTTGGGAGGTTGGGATAGAAGTAGTTAATTATTCCAAGTTCAAAATAAGATGCAAAGCCCTCGTTGAGCCATATATTATTCCACCAACTCATGGTCACCAGGTTCCCGAACCACTTTTGGAGATGTGAGAGAGAAAAAGATATTTCTAAAATTTAAGCTGTCTTTACTGCAAATACACACTAAGGAGGTAAGATGACAAAAGGATGTACATGTCATTTGCCACCAATAACAAAACTTGAAAGCAGAATTCCCAAGCATAACTTGCTGTTTTCACATGAGAAGATATCAGTTGTGCACTTCTCAGAAAGGATTGTGTCATTTCTGGACACTGGAAGCAGTCCTTGCTTTAAAACTGATATGTAAGCACAAGGCTGGCTAGCTGAACATAGACCATTGGCTTTGCCCACGAGTTGTGTTTAGTTCAATGAAGCTGAAGTCCTAGGCTCTCACTTACCCCCTGCTATTCTTGCACCTCATAGCCTAGTTAGGACTTCTCTGTACGTAGATACTGTGTTTTAGACTGTGATTTGATCCACATATGAATCACTCAACCGTGTGTATACTCTGTGATGTAATGCAGCTGCGTCGTTTTCTATCCAAGCTGAACAGGGCAGGAGAAAGCATAGATGGAAAGAAAAGTACCTCCCAAATCAACAAATCTGTATCTTGGTATCTAACCAAATTCTTATGGCAGTTGTTAGCTGCTTGTATCACCTGGGTTGCAATAAGAAATGACACTTTGGACAATCCTTGTTCTATGCACATTTCAAGCATTCCCGTGCTGCCCCAGCTGTGATGTGTGGCTGGTATTTCTTGGTTTTCCTGCTTGGAGGGAAACAACTAGAAAATGCCGCGCTGTGAAATAAGGGAGAATATTTCACCAGGTACCTGGTGCCCAACCTCGTGGGAGACGATGGACAAGACCATGGCCCTTTTCTCCGTTGTCTCATCATCTGGATCCAGCAACAAGGATGCTTCATCAAATATCAGCAGCCCCCAGTTTTCCATTGCACGGTTGTCAAAAGCAGGCAGGGCAAGTATATCTAAGTGGATTTAAGTAAGGAAAAAAGTAAATCATCTTTTCTAATAAAATGTTGTTTTAGCTATAAGTGATGTTCAAATAAAGTCATAAGGTTACTGAAAAATAAAGATTAGATGAAATTTGTAACATGAGTAAAGAGAAGGGTATTTTAAAAAAACAGAAAATAAGTTATGACAACTGTATGAAAATCATACAAAGATCAAATACTTCTAATGAGAGACTCATAGCTCAAATCTAGAAAAATCTCAAAACTCAACAATAAGAAGACAAGATGGGCTAAATCCTGGTCCTTCCCTCGCCCGGTGAGTCAGCCTGTCTCAAAGCATGCATCAGACTTAGTGACACTGCCCATCCCTCTAAACCCCTCCTCCCCAACACTCATCCCAACCCCAAATCCATACTCTTCCCTTGCACAAAACTCTGCTGTCCTGCCCAACTCAGTTATTTTTGTTGACCCTAGATTTCCTCTGCTAACCAATCTTGTTTGCTTTCCCAGGAAACCCTGTACTCGATGCAATCAGCACTCAGAGTCTGGCCCTGACAGCTATAAGAAATCAATTCTTATAGAGACTTACTACTTTTAAAATTTCCTGAAATTATGTCTTTTTACATGCATGTGAGTCTGTGCAATTGCATGCACACATGTGTGCATGCATGCGTGTGTGTGCAAGTGTACATGTATAGTGGCACACATATATGGCACACAGAGTGATCACAAGACAACCCACGGGAGTCAGTGCTCTCCTCCACTCTGTGGATCCTGGAGTCTGAACTTCAGCTGTCCAGCTTGGCAGCAGGTGCCCTTACTCACCAAGCCACCTTGCTAGGCCCCTTCTAATGACTGTTTTTTGAACATTTTAAAATTTCAAATGAATACAGTTTAATTAAGCAAAATCATTGGGTTTTTAGAAAACAAACGATCATCACTAATTACCACATGATTCTGCATTATTTTATGCAAACATTTAACTAATTATTTCAAAATAACAATAGAAGCAACCATGGATCTAACATTTAACCCTTTATAACTGGCTGGGATTAGCCAACTTTTTCTGTAAAAGGCCGGATGATAAAATTTCCAACTTTTTATGCTGTTTTCTGTCACATTTTGTATTTACTGTTCCCTTGCTTTGAATAGATTGTATATTCTATTTTATTTCATTATATAAAATCATTTTGGGTTTTAAACTTTATAAAAGGCGCTTTATTTCCATTGCTGTATAATCTTCTATTGTATGTGGGTGCCTCACCATTCACCAATCCTCCTACGAAAGACCTTTGTGTGTGTGTGTGTGTGTGTGTGTGTGTGTGTGTGTGTGTGTGTGTGTGTCCGAGTTAACAAAAAGGAAGGGTTAATTATCCACTTAATTAAAAGACATTCCATGATGTGCAAATTGCATGTGGTGTGAAGAGACTGGAGGACCAAGGAGAGTGCAGAGACTTTACACGGGCCCCAGTCTTAGTAGGAAACTGCCCAACTCTTGGGATAGGTTGGCACATCACTGTAAAAACACAGCTGCGGTTCAGACCGCATCCTCATGGTTATGGAAAGCTGCAGAGAGATTTCACAGAGGACTTTAACATGATCAGCTACTTCTCTGCAAAGACTCTGGCTTCACATAAAAGGACAGGTTGGAGGGTAACACTACCTAAAGACTGTTCCACTAGAGACGATGGTCATGTACACTCCTGGCGAGTAGGAGTAGGAAGGCAGTAAGTGGCTTGGGGGTCAGGGAAAAAAATAAAGTGTCTGGTGAGTGGACAGGATGACATGCAAGAACAAGGGTTACCCTGGAATCTCACTTAATGCGCATATCTTTATTTCGTTTTGTTTTGCTGGCAAGGACTAGATACCTTTAGCTCCTCCAGCATGGAAGAGCGAGGAAGCCTGCTTACTAGCTCAGATGCCTGCTGCCGACAGCTCGTTATATGACAGGCAAACTGGGGTTTCTGCAGTTCTGCAGGCTTAAGCTGCTCCTCAGCCCTCTGCCCTTTATTCCCCCTAAGGCTCTGCAGAATCTCACATCCCAAATATTTTCTCCCCACCCTCTTCTGCTATCTGCCCATGTAGGCAGAGCATAGCGTTCTCAAGATTTCAGAAACATGGAGGAACAAAATAAATTTACATGACACGTGCAATTTAAGCAGAAGAAAAAAAATCGAGCAACTTTGTGCAACTTTCTGAGCTGAACGGCTTGCAAAACTTTACAGGCATACCATACAGATCTATGAGAGATAAAATAATTACACAAATCCTCAAGGATCATATCACACATGATCCTAATTTTTACGAAGAAATCTATAGATAACAATTAGTACTAGGTCAATGAATCACTGCTGAAGAACATCTAAAATCTTGCAAGCTTGCTAGCTGAAAGAATACAGAGCCCAGCACTGCACAGTGCTATATGTAAGTGTAAGAGAGCTTTAAAAGCTCCATCTAGAGTAGGAGTCACCAGAAACCCTCAAGGGAACTGAAATAAAAATGGTCTTGACTCACTAGATACAGAGCACCAGACAGAGAAAGCACAGTCAGATCTCTGTGTGTTTTGGAAACATCAAACACCATGGTGAATGAGGCTAATTCCAAAATAAAAGCTAAATGACTGCAATATACCCTTGAAGCTTCATTAATGTATCATGTGATTTCAACACAGGGCCTGCAGAACAAAAATATTGTGCACTGAAACTTTTTAAACGTTTCACCTGTTTTTGGAAGTGGATAACTGATATTAAACAAATCCTCCAGAAATGAGAAGATAGGACCTGTGATGTTCACAGCAAAGTCTACATTTCCATTTGCAATGTCGTCTTTTCGGGCCCAGACTCGTATCTAAATTAGAAAAATTAAACAATAATTAGGTAGAGCAATATTGGGCTTCAAAACGTGCTCATTTCAACTCCCTGCTACTGTGGAAGAAGCTGTGTGTGGTGGCTTGGGAATGGTCCCCACAGTCTCATATAGTGAATGCGTGGTCCCCAGTTTGTAGAATTGTTTAGGAAGGATTAGGAGGTGTGCCTTGTTGAGGAGGTGTGTCACTCTGGGATGAACTTTGATGCTTCAACAGATTTGCAACATTTCCAGTGTTCTCTCTCTGCTTCCTGCTAATGGATCAAGATGTGAACTTTCCGCTGTTCTCCTATTGCTTATGGTGTTTTGTCACAGTGAAAAAAAGCAATTAGGATAGCACTTGTAATATTTAAGCTCATATAGGTGCTGAGAAAATTCCAGAAGGCACAGCACTAGCAGTAATCCCCCAGAAGTATGTTACATTAATTTTTACTTTGAAAATCTATATTTACTGGTCAGACAAGAAGCTGCATGTAGAAGAATGAAAACAAGCCCCTATACATCACCCTGCACAAAATCAATTCCAAAAGAATCAAGGATATCAATGTAAGGCCAGACATCATGACTCCGATTGAAAAGAAAGTAAAGAATAGGCTTGAAATTATTGACCAGGAAGAGATCTCTGAACAGAACATTGATAGCATAGACATTAAGTAAATAGAACCTCATGAAGCTCAAAAGATGCTGATTTAAAAGAACATAATCATTCCTTTAAGCAAAGTAGCAGTCCACACAATAGGCAAAATAATTTCCAATTATAACAGAGTTAGCATCTGAAATATACAAAGAACTTAGAAAACTGAACATCAAGAAAACAAATAACCTAATTTTAAAACGGGATATAGAATAAGAGAGTTCGCAAAAGATGAAGCACAAATGGCTGAGAAATATTTTTCTAAATGTTTAATATCCTTAATCCCAGGAAAATTCAAATTAAAACTACTTTGAGATTTCATCTTACCCAGTCAGAATGAAGAAGATCAGTAAGACGAACAACAGCACATGATGGTGAGAATGTGGAGAAAGGGGAATACTTCACTGCTGGCTGATGTGAAAACTTGTACAATCTCTATGGGAGTCAGTGTAGAGTTTCCTCAAAAAGATGAAAATAGACCTACGAGATCCAGCCATGCCATTCTTGAGAATATACTAAAAGGACTCTGTATCTTACTACACAGATGCTTGCTTATAAATGTTCATAAAGCCAGAAGCTTGAAATAGCATATACATCCATAGACTGATGACTAGATAATGAAAATGGAACGCATTTACACAATGAAACATTATTCAACTGTTAAGAAAAATGAAATTATGAAACTTGCAGGTAAATGGGTAGAACTGGAGTCAACCATCGTAAGGTAACTCAGACCCCAAAAGACAAACACTGCCTGATCTTTTCTTATATGTGGGTGTTAGCTTTTAAGATTTAGATATGTATTTTTTTTTCAGAATATTCAGAGATTAGGTAACTAGTAAAGAACCAGGGAGTAGAGGAGATCTTCCAAAGAAGGGGAAATAGAATATGGTGTTATATGCAAAGAAGAAGCTAAACTAGGAGGATTAAATGGGACGGGTGATGGGAGAACAGGGTGAAGGAGAGATATGGGCAGGGTCAGCTAATAGTCAAGGTCTTTTGAAAGGCCTCCATGAATGAACGGCATCTCTTTGAGTTGTTAGTCAAGGCGGATACCATAGATTACCCTCAAACATTACATGCTATTGCCAATTATATTGATTACCCTCCACAACCTGACAATAAGACTTTATTGTTCATGGTAATACATACTTACATCACTGAACATAAAGAACTTGAGCTAATGCTCAACAAGAAGTTTCACCCCTATTGACTAATGTTCATAGTTCTGGAAGTTACTATACAGACTAGACTATCAGAAGAGAAAAGTAATCATCAAACTCATCCAGTTATGAACCCAGTGGCACAAATGTTATAGAAGTAACTAACTGCTTTTTGTTGGCTTTAGGGTCTGCTCCATGTCAAAAACCCATACCTGACACTAGAACCTGGGACTAGATAAGTCATGGGCCCTATAGGAAAACCTACTACTATTATTCTACTGAAGGACCATATTAATAAAAAAACTGCTAACACATATTGCTATGCCCATAGATCAATGTGTCACTGAACTCTTATCAGAGAAGCAGATGGTAATTAACACAAAGACATACAAGTGGATAACATGTGAACAGTGAGGACCATGGAGTAATCGGTCCTAAGTGGGATGTCTACATCACACTCCTCTATTGAAGGCCTGGGGATCTATTTGAAAATATACATGAAGAAACACGTATGCACTCACAGAGACTGTAACATTATGCACAAGACCTGCACAGGTTCAAGCCAGGCAAAAATCCCTGCACAAAGTCCTGCCCCTAGTCAAGAAGGTATTTTCAACTGGTACCTCCTGGGAGAGGGAAAGCGGGTTTTCCCACAGTGAGGGAGAACTATCAATCACACTCTATGGAGGGATTCCACGTTTTTGTGTGTGCTTTTCTTTTGTTGTGGTTTGATGTTTTTGCCTTTTTGGGTTTTGTTTTGTTTCATTTCCACGGTTAGATTTCTTGTTTGAGAGAGAGAAAGAACATGAAGCTGGGTGGGTAGGGAGGTGGGGAGGATCTGGGAACAGTTGGGAGAGAAGAAAGAATATAATCAAAATACAGCGTATGAACAAATTAAATAATAAGAGGTAATAAATATTTTTAAAATGTGTAATTCTGTAATTGCAGAATACTCCTTGTAGCTTCCATGTAAAAGAATACCTCACATCCTTCTTCCCTTTAAAAACATTCCAACGATCCAAAACAGAATTGCACTGTTAAGAGTGATGGCATACTGTATAACCAAATTTGAGCCTTGCAAATTTAGAATGGTTTAATACTTAAAGAATTATTAAAAATCATATTAAGTCCTCAAATTTTAAAAAGCCCTTGAAAAGTCTTATGATTTTAAACCTGTTGAAGCTAGTGAGTTATTGCAATGATATTCCCATGTTTGCTGGTAAAAGGCATCTCTGCCATTCAAAGTCCTTTTCACACAAGCATGCTGGTGTTTGGCACCCGAGAGTGAATCCCTGTAGCTTTCATGACTACACTCCTGTTTCAACCTGCAGGGTTATAGTGACGCAGAGTCACCGTATGCTCTTCAACTTTTCTCTCTGTAAGTAATTTTTAATAGGATAGGACTGAGAATTGCCAGTGCTGATGCCAAGGACGACACATGAAAACCAAAGTCCTTAGGACAAACGTTAGAGGTATGGGAATTACCAAGTGTGTCACATGAGCGTTGTTAACTTAAAAAATAAAGTGCAGCAGGGCGTTGGAAGACCAAAGTCCTTAGGACAAACGTTAGAGGTATGGGAATTACCAAGTGTGTCACATGAGCGTTGTTAACTTAAAAAATAAAATGAAGCAGGGCGGTGGTGGCGCAAACCTTTAATCCCAGCACTCAGAAGGCAGAGGCAGGAGGATCTCTGTGAGTTCGAGGCCAGCTTGGTCTACAGGGCGAGTTCCAGGACAGCCTCCAAAACAATACAGAGAAACCCTGTCTCGAAAAACCATAAATGAATAAACAAATAAATAAATAAATAAATGGAAATGCTCTCCGTAGAACATTATCCAAAAAGGGCAAGAAAAATGAAAAAAGAAAAAACCCAGCATAATACAGGCACATGCTTTCCAAGAACAGATTTATCTCACTGTGCTTTTATTTCTCTGGAAAGTTTGTCTTGAATTATGGGAGTTTTTAGTTATATCAGAGTTTGGGAATGTTCCTAGTTCACAAAATGCAACCACCTGTTTTTGAGGCTCCAGCATGAATTCCCTCACTGATTTCTCCCTCCCATGTGCTGCAGAGCCCCATTTAGTTGAGAAAGATGACTTCAGGCCTTGAATCTGCTTTTCCACTAAATTTATGGCTTCTGAGAACAAAGCTAAGAAGCTCACTCGACTTGGAAAAAAAAAACATTCTACAGGATGGAGATAGTGGATACAATCTGTGTTTTAGCTGTAGTCTTTTTCAAAATAATAGCCTCATCAATGAATACTTGCTCATTAATTTTAAGTTTAAGAACCTCCTCCCAAAATGACCATTCTGCACTCCCCTAAAGAAAGACAAATAATGGGAATTTCATATAGAATTGGGAGGGTGGGTAGCCCCAACGATGAAGCAAGAAACACAGGCCAATAAGGACCATCTTAGATGTATCTGAAAAGTTCTTTCAAAATCCCACCTGCCCCACCTGTGTGATCTAATAGCCGTCACTGGATGTGGCAGACCTAGACATCAGAGAGGATTGTTTTTGCCAATATCCATGCTGCCCAAGTCCTCCACGTTAGCCGTTCCCATCCCTACAGTGTGCTCTGTTTATGCTTTACATAGTCACACTAAATATCTTACCGAATGGGTAATTCAGGGATAAGCTGGACACCATCCCAGGCTTGAGTTTTGTTTACCTCAAAGAACACACGTTAGATTCAGTCACTTTGTAGTGCTCAGCCGTGGCCAAGCACAGCATTCCACTGATAAACTCGTCCCAAGACTCACTTTCTGGGCCAAGAGCATTAACTTTCTCTTGTTCCTTTTAGTTTCTATGGCAGCTGGCATTCTTTAAAATAGGGCGATCTTTGGGGAAGAAACTGATTTTATCCTTTCACAAGAATTACTAATTGAGAAGAGGACTGACCAGAAGCTATTTGGTGTGGGTGTGAGGGACCACCCTGGGTCTCTCACTATGGGAAATAAGAGGTCTGCTACTTCTTGCTAGGCTCAAGCCATGCTTCTAAATCATGCCCAAGCAGATTCACTGATCTATGCCATGGATTTCTGACTAGACCAGTGTTACATCTGTGAATGTCAAGGACCTCCTAGTAATTATTCAGCAAGAGGACCAGGGCTGGGAGCCAGCAGTTCAGGAAGATGATAAGCTGCTGCTTGCATCCAACACTGTGTAAGTGATTCATTAGGCTAGGAGGCCTGGGGTAGTGCCTTGGCTCGTTCTCACTCCCTTGATGAGCCTGACTCACCACCAGCCCTCTTGTCTCCACATGTCAATGATTTGAGCCTGGAAGATCTCAGGCCAGCCAGAGGGATGCTCAGATAACTGCACGGCTTGACCTTTCTCTCGAGCAAGCCAAGAAATCAGAACGAACTGGTGGGCATAAGACACTGGCCTTAGTTGCCTCCATATCCCATAGTAGGGAATAAGCAAGCGTGGAAGACAGCATCCGTGATGCTTTCTGAAAATCTTAGGCTGTCATGAGAATACAGCTAGACAAAAACTAAGAATTTCAGGACAAAACCTGCTCATCCCACTTTACGTGACTCTAGAGAAGTCTTGTGTGCCCAAAGCTATGGAACACCCACAGGGCCTAGCTCCTTAAAGGGAATGACAGTTAGCCTGCACACACCCCTCCAGTGACTCATGAGTGCCTTGCTTTTATTGTTCGGGCTGAGGCCATCCAGGTTGCTAAACACTTCGAATCTGATCTAGTAAGCAACATATCTCCCAGGGCTAGCCCAACCATTGTCTGTATACCCCTGCCCTCTAGGAAAGCAAAAACAGGAAGTGGGTGCTTAGAACCTACCTTGAGGACTGGGCTTAATGTACAGTCTACCATAGAAACAGTTACATAGAGCTATCATGGGAAAAAGCATCTTACCCCTCCCTACCACCCCATTTCTAAATTTAGTGAAAGGGGAGGAAACAGAATCTTACTATGTAGCCCAGGATGGCCTCAAACTCATGATCCTTGATGTCTCAGGTGCTGGAATTACAAGTGTGTTACCATACACAGCTTGTTACATCACATTCTGAGAAGCCACATTTCCATGGGACTTGGAAGGTTAGGGTTGGGTCAGGGTCAGGGTTATGGTTATGGTTAGGGTTAGGGTTAGGGTCAGGGTTAGGGTTAGGGTGAAGACGTTACATAGGTACAGTAGGCGAGCACCATGCAGCCAGCCCATTGTTCCTTATCTACAGGGTTAGTGTTAGGGTTAGGGTCAGGGTTATGGTTATGGTTAGGGTTAGGGTTAGGGTTAGAGTCAGGGTTATGGTTAGGGTTAGGATTAGGGTTAGGGTTAAAGGGAAGAGGGTTAGGGTTAGGGTAAGGGTCAGGGTTAGGGTTAGGGTCAGGGTCAGGGTCAAGGTCAGAGTTAGGGCCAGGGTCAGGGTCAGGGCTAGGGTTAGGGTCAGGGTCAGGGTTAGGGTTAGGGTCAGGATCAGGGTAAGTGTCAGGGTCAGGGTCAGGGTCAGGGTCAGGGTTAGGGTCAGGGTAAGGGTCAGGGCTAGGGTCAGGGCTAGGGTCAGGGCTAGGGTCAGGGTCAAGGTCAGAGTTAGGGTCAGGGTCAGGGTCAGGGTCAGGGTCAGGGTCAGGGGGAAGAGGTTACATAGGTACAGTAGGCGAGCACCATGCAGCCAGCCCATTGTTCCTTATCTACAGGCTCTTCCCTACTCACCTCCTTGCCTCTCTCAGTTCTGCTGACGTGGTCGAAATCACACACGGCAAGAGCGACGAGGTAAGTTGGCATGCGGGGTGTGGTGCGGAAGGCAGTGACCGTCCATCTACTTCCATTCACACTGACTCTTTCAGACTGACCTGGACGAATATTGTAGTTCAAACCGCTGTAAACCTAGATAATACACAACCTAGAAACAATTTGTCACGACAGCTGTCAACCAACCACTCCTTCCTAGATATTCCCTGTAGTCTGGGAGATCGGGTTTGTCTATCTAAGCCATCAACACTACATCAGGTCACCCTGAACCTTTGTCATCCCAGGATCTAAACACAAAGTTAACAATGAGGCAATACAAATGTTAATTACCCTGAAATATACACTATGAATCAAAAATATGCAAGATTATCACATTGTTCAGGAGTATTTATGTGTGTACATCTGAGTTTGTGTATGTGTGTACATGTGTTTATAGAGGTCAGCACTGGACATCTTGCTCAGATGTTCTCCATCTTGCCTTTTGAGACAGGGACTCTAAACCTGGAGCTCCCCAGTTCAGCTAGACTGACTGCCAGCAAGACCCCAGGGAACCCGCCACCTCTGCCTCCCCAGCACTGAAATTACAGTTGTACTCCACCATGCCCAGCTTTTTACATGAGTGCTGGAGATCAAACTCAGATCCTTCTGCTTGTGTGGTAAGCACTTGCTGACCAATATTTTCTATTATAATGATGACTACTCCACTATTACCATTACCTACTGCATATATATATCAAATCATCATACTTTATCCCATAAAGCTATACAGTTGTTATAATGATTTTTAAATAAATAAAAAGTACATTTGAAGGACCCAAAGATGGGATCGTAGGCCTGAATCAGCATCCTGAGTGATGAGAGCTTAACAAAATGAATGTCAAAGCCATGAGCACTGTAAATTTTCTGCCCAGTTGATTCCATTTCTGTCCATCTATTTCCATCTCCTAGTTTAGCACACTTCCCGCAGCATTTAATCTAGAGCTGCCTGAGTCCAAGTGAATCAGAAACTACAATTCCACCTTTATCGGGTTTCAGAGGTAGCAGCAGCAGCAGCAGCAGCAGTCTGGAGCCTAAAGCTGGAATCGCAAACTCAAATGTTGGTGAGGACCAGTCATCTGAGATGTCACTGCGTAGTATATAGTAACAAGGAAACTGAGGCAGCTTATGGTGGCTCAGGCCCAGTCTTTTAGAAGTCATCTGAGATGTCACTGCGTAGTATATAGTAACAAGGAAACTGAGGCAGCTTATGGTGGCTCAGGCCCAGTCTTTTAGAAGCTACCTGTTCTCAGCTTTCATTCATTATAGTCATATAAATGCTGCAGGTCCAGTGTTAGTTGAGCATTAGAGTTACCAAGGAAACAAAGGTCTAGATTTTTACATTATATCTCTGGATCTCTAAAAGTTAAAACCAATGCAGTCAAGATAAGCAAACCACCCAAGGTGAATAAAACACATGTATGTATGTGCTGAGATCAACTACACCAGCCTGTTATCAGTAAGGGCCCACAGTTGAAGCACTAAGTAACGGGCAGGTCCTCAGCATGTAGAGACAGTATCATGTCCCCAGATCTCCGTACAGAAAGAATAGGTATTTATCTTCTCTAGGTGTGAAGGTTCCATACTTGTCTCATGTGACCGCTCTCCACAGTTACAACAGATGAAAGCTACTAACACACTTCCTAGAGAAGCAGACATGAAAGCTAATGTTTTCTCATGTTTGTACAATGGCAGGACACATCACTTACCTAGCTGTGGCATATTGGAAAGAGCCACATACCCAGGATGGTGAATAATTGTAATGTTAAACGTTGCCTTCAGAGCTGGCTCATCGAAACAGGGGAAAACACTCCTGGCAAACGTCGGCTCCATTTGAGATGCAATCAAGGCTCTGAAATACATTTGGGGAATTTTTTCTTAGATCAATGGAAATACACAAACACATACACACACTCTCTCTCTCTATATATATATATATGTATATGTATATTCATATATATGTATGTGTATGTATATATGTATGTATATATATCCAATTCATATATATATGTATACATATATATATATATATATCCAATTCCTATAGCATCTTAGGGTTCTTAGGGTTTACAACACAAAATAAAAATGATCTCTTTAACTTTCAACCACAAAATAAATTTTGTATTCTTGCATCACAAACCTTTTATAAGGAAAACAGGAACAAACATAAGCATGGAATGTCAGTCTTTGGAAAACTAGGATGGCTTCTTTGAGAATTGTTTGTTGCTTTCATCTGTCACCAAGGGGCGAGTCAGTCTGAAGAATGTGGTTTTTTTTTTCTTTTTTCCCCTCTTTCTCAAATGTTCCCGCTTCCTTCTAATTGAAAACTTACAGTTCTATTTTGGACCCCTCTGGGGGTAAACCGTATGGGCACACCCACTGAACATTATGTCCTTCAGTTACAGATAGATTTTCCACATCCCTACTCTGGCTTCTCCTACGTCCATGGAAAGATACAAAGAATGACACACTGCCGTGGTGCACTGGTGATTTATAGCAGAAAGTTAGGAACAAATCCATGATGTCAGGTTCACTCCCAGCACATCCTTCCTGAGTGTCTGAAGGGCATGGCTCTCAGCAAACAGCTTTCTCCTCAGTCGTGTTAATTCCATTTGCCAAGACTTGGTGACCCGGGAACCTGGCTGGAGAGGACAATGGTGAATGTGAACCTCCCTTCCAACTGAGGTCCCAGGCTGCCATCTGTCATATGTTGACTCTTGCTTCAGGCCCAATTCATAGATAAATAAAGCCAAACATCTTGAGAGGGCCTGCTCCACTCATTTTTCACCTTTGCAAATCAATCTTCCACTGCAAAAGAGCCTCTCCACTTAATTAAAAAAAATGCACAGCTCTAGGAGGGGCATTAAAGTAGCGGAGACATTCAGAAACCTTTCATGAAAAATAAGAAAAACCCATCTTACAGACAGCCCACTGGAGATGTCCAACTTTACTGTGGCAAAGCTATAATTTGCAACCAGCCTGTTTTGTCCTGCTCATTTCCCTCATTTTATTATAGCCTTGCTTGTGCAGGCTGGAAGGAAGCCTGTGGTTCCACAGTAGCCAGTTTGGCTACAAGACCTGGTCATTCTGCTACCGACTGAGCCATTGTGGGGAAGTCACATATTGGAGCTTAACACTCTACTAAAGGTGTTGTTACTTGAGTGCACATATTATTTCATGTATTATTAGTAGACAACTTAATAAGAAATCACCTGTGATCCCTCCATCTTCCAACCTGACAAGCCATCCTCAATACTGATAACGTTTAGAAGAGACCCAAGAGTCACTAACTTATGGGTGAGTTGATCATTAGTGACAAACTCAGCCCCAAAGTTGTCAAAATTACAGCTGATCACAAACTGAACACAAATCATCTTTCTCTCCCCAACTACAAATGACCAGAAGCTGGGAGGAGGGAGCAGTTCTGTCTTTCTTTTTCGTTTTTGTTTGTGTCATTTACAACAGAGAAGTTGAATTAGCAGCTGCTAATTAGCACCGCTCTGGGGCTGTTATAGAATATAGGCAGCTTTATTAATATATACAGGGACCATGAAGTACTTTTGCCGTGTGTGCTACAGTCAAAATTGCCTGTCTTAAGACTTGGATTGCTGTGTTTGAGTGGAGAAACAATGAAATAACATTGTGTATTGTTTTTCAGTCACCTGAGTTCTCCATTCCTATGAGCAAAATAAAAATAATTAAAGCCATGCAACTTTAAGAAATGTGCTTAAAGTCTCTAGGGACCTTTTTTTTAATAAAATATGTGGATGGGATGAAATGATCTGAATGGCCACTGAGATTTCTAACAGCATGATTCTGAGAGGCAGGATGAAAAGAGGGCTAAACTTACCTAACAAAATGTAGACAAAGCCTATGAAGTGGCCCTGTTTAAGTCACCTGGAGACCACAGGAGGAGCCCCCTCAAGGGTTCACCCATGCTCCTTGGAAAGTCCATACCCTAAAGCTGTAGAACAGACTGAACATACGGTGCTGTATTAGTACCAAAGGCACATCTCTTTATAGAGTGCATCTTCAGATAACCTGGAAGCCAAGTGCTGAACACAAGCCACAAAAAGAGAAATCTGACAGCATGTCCTCTGCCATGACTTCACAAAGTTTATGACAATCAAGGAGGCTGCAAGATGGGTAACAGGAAGAACAGCTCCACGTTAGCAACTAAGCACAGCAAATGCTCTAAGTCCGTGACTCAAGCCTCCCGAGGAGTGAAAGGAAAGGGCTTCTCCTGGGCTTTTCTGTTGCCCTGGAAACAGCTGGAGAAAAGTCCCTACTACTCACAGCCCTTGTGACTCTTCATCTTTGCTGCAAAGGCCAGAGGCAAGCAGCAGCCATGTGATCTTGTATGCCACACCTGGGAATCTCACAGTGAGTGTCTTTACCTTCTGGCTCCGTCGGTGGAGAGAGAAGTGTCAAGCCTTTCCTAGCACAAGATGATCTACCATTCTGTCTTCCCTCTAAGTTTCATGGAATCATACTATTAGGGTGTCTAATAAGTCTCTGTTTGCAGTGGTCAGCTGGTGAAGGAATTACTGTAGGGGGATTTGTTTTCTAGAGATTCAGTACTGTAGAATATCTTTCCCTTCTTATTGCCTTGCTCTAGAATCATGACCTCACCACTCTCTGGAGCTAGAAGGCATCTTTATGGTCAAGATCTTCTTTATGCACTTGGAGAATGAGTCTATTTCCATTGAAAAGATACCAATTGCATGCACTCAGTAAATCATTTCATTCCAAATTATTTTATTAACTCCATATGTCTACATCTTCTGTTAATAAGTGCTAAATAACAGAGCTGGTCAGAGATTAAGTAAAATTCTTAAGAGTTATGATACCACACTCCTAAAATATTTTCATGTAACACACACCCAGAAATCAAAATGTTTAGTAGAGCCAGATGTTCAACCACTGGACTGTGGTTCAAGGGTTTTCCCATGAATCATGTTTGTTTGTTACTTGTGTAAGTGAATCTGGAGACTATAGTTTTTACCAAGCAACAAAATATAACAGCTGCAGAATTCCAAAGAAAGATGCCAAATTAAGTTAGGAAGCTCTTCAAAGCAAATGGCCATGAGAGTCAGAAAGTTCATCTTTGGACAGCTCAGACATAAGAGGCCACAGTAGAGTCAAGGAGTGAAGAGGAGCCAGGAAAGAGAAGTCTTAGCAGGCAATGGGTCCAGGAGTTGGAAGGAGGCACCAAGCTCTACCCTTGGGCTAATGGAGAGGAGACACTCAGAAAGCAGGACCAATATTCCTTAAAGCTGAAAGAGGGAAGGCTGGTGCTCACTCACCCTAAAAACAACTGAAGCTGCCCAGAGCCTGGGCTCTGCTCCTACCCACTAAGAGGAGACTGAACAGCTGGCTGCTTCAGAGGCAGAGCCGGAAGCAGACTGCTGTCTCCAGATACATGGCAGTGCTAGGCAAGGGAAGGATGAATGCCGTCAGTAGAACTTTGGGGCCCCAGACACTGTGAACCATAGTGGGTGCTTCCTGGGATCCTGTCCAATAGAGCCACCTAGAAGAGGATGAAGCAGTGAAAAGACACATTGCCCGCTTTTTGGACTGAGGAACCAGTGAAGTGACTACACAGACAGACCAATAAGAGAATCTCCAGCTAAGCCAAGGGATGTATGGGAGAAAGACAAATGGCAAAGAAAGCTAGGAAGTGTCAAAAGAGATATATGTGTTAGGAAAATAAGGCATCTGCTAGGCCAGAGCAAGCAAATGACAAGAAGACTAGTTCCAGTAAAAAGTACATACTCTGTAACCTCTTCTTGCAGTGCCTGCCTCACCAGACCGCTATGATGTTGGAACAGCGGTTATTAAGATGGACAAGGAGGAATGGAAGCATAAAATCAAGAGATGGATAGCTGCACCTGCCCCACTGCAGGCACCCATCACGAATCAGGTCCTGGAGCTGGGAGGAAGGATGCTGGGGGAGAGGGCAGCATCAACAGCAAATACATTTACTGTAAGCCTCTCTAGGTTTTGTTTCTGACTATATCTATTACTTAGTGATTGCCAATCATCTGTCGCTTGGAGCCAGAGGGGTCAAGGATACCAAAAGAACACGGTCCACAGAATAAGCTAACCTGGCTTCAGAGAGACTCACAGAGACTAAATCGATAGTCAGGGAGCCTGTGGGTCTTCTGCATATATGCTATGATTACGCAGCTTGATGTTCTTGTGAGGCTCCTAACAGTGGGAGTGGGGGTGTCTCTGACTCTCTGCCTGCTCTTGGAACCCTTTCTACCTACTGGGTTGCCTCATCCAACCTTGATATGAGGGTTTGTCTTGTTGTAACTTGCTATGCCGTGTTTGGTTGATATCCCTGGGAGGACTGCCCTTTTCTGAAGGGGAATGGAGGAGGAATGGATCTGGTACAGAGGTGAAGTAGGGTGGTGGGGAATGGGAGAAGTGGCGGGCAGTAGGGCGGGGACTGCAGTCATAATGCAATATATGGGAAAAGAATAAATTAATTTTAAAAAGAAACACAGAACCATATGAGCTTCACAAGGTGAAAAGATGGAAATGTAACTCCATACATTAAACTGTGAAGAACAGTGGAGATATGCTAACCACGTTTGTTTTCAAAAGCTGCAGGATGGCTAGCAAAATTACCTCCCAGAAAAACCATTAGTCACACAAAATATGAGTTCAACACTTATCCCAGCTATGAAATTACCTCCTTCCTCCTTCTTCATCAACATCATGTGCCTGGCATTAATAGCTCACTGACTTTGTTTTGAGATATGCAAATTCTTTCCCAGTATTGCTCAATTTCCTATTCTGAGAGTGCCTCATACTTTCAGCACTGTGTAAGATTTCTTAGCGTAA